CAATATTCTGTTTCCTGGCATGGGTGACATGCCTCCAGCTTTTGCGAATGAACACCCTTTAAGCTTTGACACGCGTCTCCCTCCACTGAGTAGGTCGGACATGGAACTGCTCTCCTCTCAGCTGCCGGAACTGGCAGGGCAGTTGCAATTGCCCGACATGAAACCTGTGATAGACTTTTTCGTCCTCCGTTCGGGCAAAGATGGAGAGCAGGATCAGGAACAAGAACAGGAGCAGGATACACCACTGACGGCTCCTCGCGTGGTCGAACTGCAGGCACAGACAGCTGCCTCCGATTGTGAAACGGATACAGAAACCGAGTTCGAAAAGCTCAGCACCACATTCAAGTGTATGGCCACATCGACCTCTGCCAGCTTGGTGGAGCAAGTAGCACAGGGTACTGCCACCGAAGATCTGCTCATGCTCAGTGCAGGGACCCTGACGGAAGAGAATGCTGGCAGTATGCAGCGGATGCGTAGCGACATGGAAAATATGTCTAAGTTGGCCAGAGCCTGCCTCCATGAAGCTCGCTCCAATTTGGGTATTTTTCGCAGTGATGCTGCTAACTACCAGGATGAGCTGCACTCCGAGCTACATCTCCTGAAGGATAAGTGTAATGTGCTCAGAATGCAATATGAGGCACGCGTGCAGAAATCCCAAGAACAGTTGGAAGAAATGCGCTTAAAATTGCAGCTGGCAGAGCAGGAAAAGCTGACGGCTGTGGCTCAGGCCCGGGAGCAGCTTATCCACGAGCACAAAACGGAGCTGGAATCTCTTCGCTGCCGCTTCAAATTGATGACCTCCATGGAGCGCTCGCCCTCGGACAGCAGTCTTGAAAAACTTGAGCGGCCGACGAGCAGTGCTAGCGTGGCCAGCGCAAACACTGGCGTGGATATCGATCACCTGCTGGCCCAGCAACGCCAGGAACTACTGATCCAAAAGGAGCGCGCCATTAGCGAGGCTGTCGATTCCGAGCGATCGCTATGGCAGTCGCGCCTACTGCCTCTTAACTCTGAATCTGTGATGGCCAACGTGGGCATATTAAAGGACATGCTAGCCGACAAGGAGCGGCAGTTGGATCAGCTCCGGGAGCAGAACAAGATCCTTACCCAAGAGTCGTACCAGCTAAAAACCCGACTGGAGATGATCACCAACGAGGATGGCAATAGCTGGCTTAAGGAGAAGATTGACTATCTAAACAAGGACAAGTGCCGTCTGGAGGAGGAGCTCAGCCAAGAGAAGAGCCGGCGCCAAGAGATGGAGACCAGTGTGGCAGCTATGAGGAGGTAAGGACACATGGCTTTCTGGTTAAACGACTGCTAAAAACTAGCTTTTTCGCCCATAGCTCTGCCTATGATCTGAATGTGGGTGGCGTCCTGACACGTTCCAAGTCCAGCGCCAGTACCAGTCACCGGTCCATCGCATTGGAGGGATGTGCGCGAGGCGATCTCGTCTTCGTGGTGTGGAGCATGCGTCATGCTCAATTTATGGTCGTACAGGACTCGCTAACCCTGTACTTTGTCCACGCCGACAGTCTGGCTGGTCTGCAGCTTACAGCTCCGGTCACACCCACCCCGACATTGGAATCCTCGCTGGCAGTTGTGGAGCTGAATCAGATCCCGCTGCCCTACTACGCCATAGGCCGAGTCATTGACAAGGAGTACTGCCAGGCGCGAAAGGTGAGTGCATAAATATATATAATTGAAAAAAAATCCTTACCAGTGTATTTTCTTTGCAGGATGATAATCGTTATCGCGTGAGCAGGGGCTCCAAGTTCTATCGCATTAAGCTGGCCCCGTTGCCTTCTCGAAATGCTTCGCGGCGGGAGCGCTTAGAGTGTAAGTAGTAGTTCGAGCAAGTATTCCGTCCATAGTTCAGGAAGCTTTGATTCGTTCAAACTTACTCAATTTCTTTGTCTTGTTGCGTCAATTAGCGAGGCAATATATTATTATTAAAGCTTATATTATATAGCGCCCATATGAACAATCTAAAAAAAATTGAATACTCAGTTCTTATACCCTTGCAGAGTGTATTTTACAAGTTTTCAACGCAGTGAAGAAGACATTTCCGACCATAAAAAAGTATATATGTATATACAATCTGAAAAATAAATAAAAAACGAATTATAACTTCGCAATTTTTTAACATATACGGAGGAACTCTGAGATAAAGTGTTTTTTTTACAATTTCAGAATTATGACATTTTTATACCCTTGCAGAGGGTATTATAATTTTGGTAATTTTTTTTGTATAAAAATCGGAAAGCATCGAAATTAATATGACTTCATTGTTTTTAAACATATACACAAAATCGAAACAGTAGTTTTATAAAATATTTCAATTTTTTAATAGCTGCTACCTTTTTTATTATACCTTGCAGAGGATATTATAAATGCTATCAAAAGTTTGCCACGCAGCAGAAGGAGTCGTCTCCGATCCTATGTTCTTGATCCGGAGAGTCGATGTAGCTATGTTTGCCTGTCCGTTTCTATGCAAACTACTCAGTTTTTGAGCTATATAAACTAAACTTTCCCAAAAATCTTTCTTAATGGCAGGTATGGGCCAGATCGGAATGGGCCGGATCGGACAAAAAATTAAATATTAGTCATAACCTCTTCGTTTATAAAGTCTGAGATATAGTAATTATATCCCTTTCCAGAATTACTGTTTTAATTCTATAATAATCGGTGGAGAATATCATAAAGCTGCCATTGGAACGATCGAACATTTTTTTTTGAATATCGACATAGCTTTATTGCATAAAATCGAAGTAGAGAAAATTTAATTTAGCAAGGGTATATTAACGTTAACTTCGGCTTGCCGAAGTTTTCTTTTTTATTTCTTATTTTTTGTATTTATGTTTCCTTTCACTATACCGTTTGAAACTATAAAGTTACTTTACTGGGAAAGCGCTTACCTCTTCCCATACATTAAAATTAAACAAATTATCCAACAATCTTTTTAAGTTAAAACTTTAAATCTTTTACATTGTCGTTTTCAAATTGGTGGGACATTACCAAATTTAAAGAGTCTAATCATTCAAAGTTCAACGTCGTCATTCCGAACCCTTTAGAGTGTGCAAAAAACTAAGATATGTTTTCTCTTTTTAGCCAGCTCATCCGCCGCAGCCGCCGGTCCATCGTCTAGAGATGTCATCGATGCACCCAGCAGCAGTGTCTACCAGAGCTTTAAACAGCGCACAGTGAGCATTACGAGCGTGAATGAGGAGGATGATGAGTCAGCTTCATTGCTCAGCGAGCGGTGTCGCTATATAAGCGTCAGCGAGGAGGATGAGTTGCATGCTGCTGGAGGCGTAGTGTCGGTGACAACAACTCCTGTTACATCAGCAACAATAGCAGCAGCACCAACAACTGCAACACCTTCAGCGGTAGCAGGAGGGCCGACTACAACTGCAGCGACGGCAGCAACTCAAGCACAGTCTGTGATAACAGAGCAGCCAACGGCATCGAGCAAACTTAAATTGGATCTACTGTTGGCCTCTGCTGATATAATAACACAACCCCTAACACAACAACCACTTCAATTGCGACAGGAACAAGAGCAACACATTGAGGTGGAAAGTGCAGCGCCTGTGGCTGAAAGTCTAAATAAAACAATCCAACCGGAAAATCCGGAACCGGAAACCATTACCATCTATGTGCCCCCCAATCCCCAAGCAACATCTACTGTTACAACAACTACAAGTGCAAGCATCCTGGCCAGCATCAGTGCGGAGCCGATTATCAGCACAGCCCCCATGCTACCAATGTCCATTGGTACGGCGGCCATAAGCGAGGACTCCGACGAGTACCGATCGCTCGAGGGCAAGGATGATGGTGATGCCGATGATTTTCCCATTTCCGAATAGTGTACGACATTTAAGTACATATAACTACATGTATACATAAATGGAGTGTGTATCTAGGCTAAATCTTTTACTCTATGTAGGAACCGCAGCAAACAAACAAACAATACCCTAAAATAAAAGCCACAGGGCCAGCACCGACACAATACAGCGACACCAACATAAAACAACAACCAACAACAGCAACAGCAATGTGAAAAGTTATATACTTAACTAATTTAAAGTTTACCAAGTGCAGAATATATATTCAAAAGGAAACTAAAAACAAATGTTCTAATGTAGTCTATGTCTACATAATGATATAATCTTATTAAATTTGAATGCGGGCTTTACCCCTTCAAACACAACCACACCGACACACAAACACAAGCTAGGATTTTCAAATTTTTATTTAAAATAAAAATAATGTACTTTAACAAATTTACCTTATAATCAAAATATTTACATTGGTAGTTTTCGGTTTAGTGTTATCATTTACTTCATTTAGTGCCAAGAAAATTATTTCCAAATCACATTAGTTTCGTAGCAAGTAAAATTGAAATGAGGGAAACAAAATTATATTTTTTATAGGAATTTTTAAAAGACTAGAACACAAAAAGTTTGCACACATACCCACCCTCACACAAAAACACAAACAAACACAATCTTTTGGGCTCAGCCTGCAGAAACACAGTTTTATGCTCAGCTTACAACACTCTCTTTCCCCGCTACCCACAAAATCAAACTTTACTCTCTCTCCCTCTCTATATATAAGATATTTTGATTTTTCAACTTTGTGTAAATAAATAAGAACGGAAATCGACGAATAGTTATTTATGCCTTTATTAATAACGAGGAAACACTTGAAAAAATACATAATATACACAATAAACGATTTATGCGTTATAGTTTTTTAACGCAAAGTGTAAATAAAAAAATATTTAAAAATACTTTAAACAATTTAAATGAGGAAACGTGTAAACGATGGTGTAACAAAATCGCAAAATTGTCAAGCTTACAAAAAAAAAACAGTGTAAAATCAAAAATCAAATAAAAAATGGTAAACATTTCAAAACTAAAGTTGGCCTTAGTTTATCTGACTTCCCTTATTAGTTAAGTAAATTTGTGTTTACTTACAGCTGGAATTTCAAAACTGAATACTAAATGAAAACATTTTAGTTAATTTACATTAAATAATTTATTAGGTGAATATTTTAATGAGTCGTTACAATTAAAAATACAATATTAATAAGCTTAGGATTATTAATTCATACTCTAATATTCCGCTTACAAAAATGTATAATATTCCATGTGCTCTAGCTACAGATTTTTGCATAGAATGTGAACATTGGTCTACATTGGATCGAGTCAAATTGCGCTTTGACATGACTTGCAATTAGTTAATAATTGTATAAGATGAATAATTAATTGCACATTTGGCCAAAGCAAATTGGCGAAGGGATTTCACATGGATATCTGGGCTGTGCTAGCGTGATAAATAGCCTTTTAATTGTGCTTGGTTGGGCAAGCTTATACTCATGCTAACATATCTATATACATATCCGATATAAAAGCAAAGCTGCTTCAGTCTCCGTTATAGAAAAGTGGGCATAATACATAAAAATTTGATTTCATATCTATAACTAATTGGGGCAATTTTTGAAAAAACTGCCAGTGTTTGTGCATTTTGTATGTGGCTTTGAGAACTCGTTTTACCCTTGCAGATCGGGGGTTATTATTTTGGTTTATAGACTTGTGACTGATCTTTGAAGTGGTTGGAGAACTAAATTTGTTCTTGAAGGATATAGTTTAAAATATGTATGAGGGAGTATTTTGATTCATATGAAAACAATTCAAATCAACGTTATAAAAGTATTTGGAGTCAATTATCTATCCTGATAGTAATTACATGTATTGTTAGTGAGTTCGAACAGTACATTTTTATAATGTTCTAGTCTCCATTATATATTATACTCCATTAAACGGACGTTTTCGTGTATGAACATCAAATTCAAAGTGATTAAAATAAACACATAAAGTTGTAACATTTAAATATTGCCAAAATTAAAACATTGGAAACGATAATAGTTAGTAAATTTCGGAACCGGCCCGACAAGATTGTTTTGAAAACTTTTTGAGGGCAAAGTTTAATAATTAATCACATTTATAGTTGTCTAGTTTAGTGAGTATATATAGTTCATCTGAAAGTCTGCAAGGGTATCTCCTCTTCGTGGTTAGCTTCGAAGATCCACTTTGCTGCCTCCGATTACCTCTGCTGCTCCGTAAGCATGTCTGAACCACATCACGCGGAGTCTGTGCACGACTAGTGAATGGCTGTGGTTGCATCCAACGGTTGGCTGGCCACCCATCTACGACTTCATTAGACTCCAAAATAATTAAGCGTTAAGTATGCTCCAGTTATTAATTGCCAGCCAAGTCGCCCCTGCCATCCATCCAGTTAGTCCGACTACTCCTCACAATATTCCGCACTTCTTGAGCACTATTTTGCGCTTCCGGGCAACGCTGGAGCCATGACCCTTCTTCGCCGGACGGAGGACGATGGTGCCGCTGCTGGACTTGGTGAAGGTCGGACTAAAGGCGCTGATCGTGGGCGTGCTGCTGTAGGGCGGGTGGCTGGAGTTCTGCGGGTTTCCGGCGGCCTGTTCGTAGCTCTGGGTCATCAGCTGATGGCACTTGGTGGCCAGGTAGCGGAATACGGACGCCACGTTGATGTCCTCCTTGACGGAGGTGCGAATAAGCCGGCAGTTGAGCAGCTTGGCCAGCGTCTCCACCTCGTCGGCGGTGACCACCGCCTGTTCGATCAGATCAATCTTGTTCTGCACAATCACCGTGGGTATCTCGTTGCATTCGTTCTCCACCTTGCGCTTCCAATCCTTAATCGCGTCGAACGAGGCCCGATCCGTCGTCGAGAAGACCAGCACGGAGGCCTGGGCGCCCCGGTAGTAGGCCTTTGTGATGCAGTCGAATTCCTCCTGGCCGGCTGTGTCCCACAGCATAATGCGCACATCCTCGCCGTCGATCTCAATCTGGCGCTCTAGAAAATCCACACCAATTGTCTTTTTGTAGTCCTTGGTAAAAATGCCCTTGCAGTAGCGCTGAATCATCGAGGATTTGCCAACGCCTCCGTTTCCTACAATGACCTGGTAAAAGATACATTTTTTGTAAATAATTTATGAATTACTATTCCTACTGGAAGATTAAGTTTTTTCCCTTTATTATTAAAATATCATCTTACATATATTGAATTGTAAGAACATACTACTTCTGACTTTAATTTTAAAGATTTATTTTCATTTATATGTTTAACATACATATATTTGTATTCACCAGAAGCCGAGAAAATTAACTGTTCACAATATTTATTTGCTTTCTATTGGTCATTTAAAACGGTCAGCCGTTTACCAGCTTTATTAAGTAATTAAGCTGGTAAATTTCCATCAAATTTGGCTTGTCTGTAGAGAAACACTTCCAGAGAAGTATGTGGTGTAGAAATCAATTCGAAACAATTCCAGAAACCCATTAGAAACGATTCAGCTCAGAAAGGAAACAACCCTAATTGAACTAGAATCTTAATCCGTGCAGTTTTGCCATTAGCATCGGGTATGGCAATTCAGATTTGATCTCTCAGGTGTTATTCACAGCACTTGGAGATGCATATATACAGAAAGAAAAAAATTGAAGCAAGATGATAATTTATTCAAAAATGTTACTTATCTTTTTGAAATATATATTATTATTATTATATTTTTAAAATTTATTTATTATTTATAATATTTTTGTAAGGTTTGTGATCAACAGGCAGATTGAACATATGGAATTAATTTGGATTTCCCATTACTGACGTATCAAATAAATTGGAAAATTAAAAACAAGACCCGTTTTTGTTTCTGTGCACTCACTGTAGCCATTCATCAACAGAATGGAAGAGATTCACGCAGCCGGCTGGGCAACTTACCACTTTAATGGCCAGCTCGATATCATCTTCACGCATGCTGGTGTAGTTGTACTGCGACTGGGACTGGGTCTGCAGAACGGTCGCAGCAGCACCGCCGGTTGCCGTTTGGATTAGACGCATCTAAGCCGGCAGGTGGGCCCCGCTCGTCCAGGTGTGTAGCTGTGGCTCTCGCTCCAGCTCCTGGCCAGGTAATTCGGGGTGAAGCACGCAATCTCAGGCAGCCAAATGCAGGTGTGTCCAAATATATTTTTTGGTCAGTCAAGTTTTCCGCAGCTTTTCACTTTTCCCCCAACTTTGCGTAAGCCTCGATTCACTTTCTACGCATTGATTTCACCAAATTCGAACTGTGGAAAAAAGAAAAACCAACTCTTCAGCGACATCAGCCTTAAGATATAAAAAACTATACAGTCAAACTTCTCCAACGCAATCGGACATCTGACAGTTAGTTATAAAGTATTTTCATTCAAGTCATATAAAAGATTTTAAGCTTGACTTTTAAATAAGACCCAATGTTAGAGATTTAAGTGTTAATAGTAATAATGGGATTTATCAAGGATATTATTATTTGTATTTCATAAAATCTTTTAAGAACCTTGCGAAATATGTTTCTAAGAGTTTAACGAGGGCACTCGAATTTTTTTAGCTTATACACAGTGTCAGTTATAGAAGTTTGACTGTAAATGCAAAGGTTTTCTTTCATTTTCACATTAACCGGTTTTCAGCGCTGTTTCTCTCGTTTCTTTTCCCTAACTCTGTTTTTTGTTTGTCTTTTTCTTATTTTTCCTGACCGGCCCCGGGGCCACCGAATGCGGCTTCTAATAAGACGCAACCCGAACGCCCGAACACGCACGGTTACGTTGTTCAACAACAGGTGCTTCCACACACCTTACGCACCAGGTAATACGTGGGGGAAAGCGGGGGCAGGTGGGAAGACAGGGGCCACTGGTCAGTGGACAGTGGAAGAGAGATGGAGAATGTATAGCATTAGTATTCGCATTAGCGCGTGCTTATGAATTCTTTGAAAATTGTGCTCTTCTGCTGGCCTTTCCCCTGTTTACAGTTGCTTTCCGCTGCTCCGTGGGCGGATGGCGTGGCGATCGTGGGTTAAGAATAGATCTGGAGTGTTAATATATCTGACCAAACGTTGGGAGACGCTGAAACCCACTTCTTTACATTGTGTTTTGATGATGAGTTATTCGTTTCGTAGGCAAATTAGTTGATTTCCAAGGTTCTTAAAATAGACTCGAAACTCGGTGTCCCAAAAAATAATAATAAGCCCACTATCTATTCGGGTTGGATTGAAAATTTAACTGATACACCAACACGTATTAACGAGGGAAAAAGCGATGCTTAAGGTATAAATCTAAGTTTTTTATATATTTATTTGCAACTCCTTATTACTCCTTAGTGTATTAGCTTTAAGAGATAAGTCATAATCTGATATTAATATAAATGCATCTGTAAATTTTTTAAATTAAAAAAGTTGTACGAAAGCATTTAATAATACATCTTATTTTATCTTAACTTCACTAATACTTGAAATATTCAACAACATAATTTTAATAAATTAATTATTTTATGTGTTTGAGTGCATTACAAACAGAGTTTCTCAAAAAGTGGTCCATGAATAAATTTAAGTGGAATTGTAAGGCCTTTAATGACCTAAATATTGTGATCTCTCTCCAAGGTTAAGTTTTTAATAATTAATTAACACCCAGCGTGATTTCTTGTGATCTTTCAACGCAGTCAGCATTCCACATTAATCGGACAGGTAACACCGGATTTGTATTTTCAATTTCCTATAGTTTGTCTGATTCTCCTTTTTCTTTAACCCAAAATTCACCTTTAACCAACTGCGCAACCTTTCGCTCGTTATAATTATGCCGCGACTCTTTCTCCAGCTTCTTCTAAAAGGTTCTTACTATTTTCGTTTATTTTTTGTAGTTCATTGTTATGATAATTAAGGCCACCGGTTATAGATTTAGTTCAATAGGCATGTGTGCACACTGAGAAAACATTTATCAAAGAAACATGAAAATCTTTCAGTATTAAGGCTTTTATCATAGGAAAAGGTTTATATTGGTTGTCTCGAAACCAAAAACAAAATGTATCCTCTTTAATTTAATTTCAGTTATTTTCGATTATCAGTTTAAGAACTTTTTGCACATTCTTCAATAATACGTATTTAGTTTTCACGCATAATAAATTCTCGTTTTAAGAAATTTAAATTTTAAACAAAATATTTCTTGAATATAACGGAATGTATCTTAAGAAACTCTTAAATTTTGATAATGTGAAAAATTAGACAAAACACTGCTATTCGATTCAAAGAATGAAACTAATAATTTGAGCTCTTTGAAATTTCTACTGTGTAGGCCAACAAAAATAAAAACAACTCCGCAGATTGACATCAAATACAGGTGAGCGTGTGTAACTTTATAAGAAATATTTGTTGGTGTACAAGTTGCAGCACAAATTGCGAATAAAGCACCGCACATCAATTTCCACAGTTGCACTGCAATTATTTTGAAATTTGCCCAAGGAACTATTAGATCGGCGGCCGTTTTCTTGGCCATTGTTGTGGAATGTGGATTCTAACTTGTCCATTTAAGTTCACATCAGCAAGACACCAACACACCTGCATGGAGCCACATGCACTGGTGCACACACCTACACACCTGCCACACACACTTGTTTCTGTTGCAGTGGAAAAGCGGATTTTCCAAGCCTGCAGTATGGGGAAAAATTATGCAAATGCTGAGCCGAGCGCTACTTAAATCAATTACGAGCGCGAATTCCTCATTATTTAAATTATGCTTAAACCGTCGTCACTCGCGCACTAACGGTACCCCGCACAATGTCGCCTTCAGCTTCATTTTATCTTTTGCCATATTTTTCATGGCTCTTTTACGGCCGTTCCCCAACTAAAAAAACAGCCCAACACTCCACTCCGATTGTGTTTTCTGGGTGAGAAACGAACGAAATGAAGTTGCGAGTGCGAAAACGCGAAACTCACATTCGAATCCCAGCCCAAACTCACACAGCCCGAGCTGCAGAAAATCGTAAACACGTTCGCAGCGCTCTTCTACATGGCCAAAACAACTAAGCCAGCTAAAATGGAGCTAAAACAACGACGACAACGCGTGCGAAGCGCCTTAATTAAAGACGAGCGACGCTGACGCTTGGGATCCCGATCTCGGAATTGACCCGTAGTGAAAGTCTAGTCACACACTCGATTTATCTGTGGCTGTGCCTCTGGCGATTTCCTAGGGCGCCAAGATGAAGAAAAGAAACCCAACGGCTGCGGAGGTCGAAAAGCGCACCTGTTGTTGCTCGACGCGTTCGAAATTTGAATGCCAAGCCTGGCTTACAGACAGTGTGACCGCGGCAATCATGTGGAAATAAACCAAAATATCTTCATATGGTCACACCTGACTTTCATACCGTTTAAAAACGCTGGTGTACAAAATATTAAACCCTATTTAATTGTTTTAAAGAAATTCTCAATTTATTAAAAGTGGCATTTTATCTTTGAATTAATATGGAATATCTGAGAGATTTATTATTATTAAACGGCTTCCTTAATGTTAGAAATTATTTGACTATTTTTTCTTGGGAGGTTAATTGCAACAAATGGGATTCCTTAGAGTAAACGATTAATAAGTTTTGAGATCACAAACTTGAAAATCATTATAAACTTTTAAGGTATGAACATTAAATTATGATAACTGTAAGTGAAACCCAAGTGACATTTAAACACGAATAATTGTATTTAAGAATAGTAGTATATTAAATTATGATAAAAGAACTGCACAGCCTTATTGTTTAGTGTAAGTGAAAACCAAGTAAATCTTATTTTTATTATGAATGGCACATAAATAAAATTGTTCATTAAATTCAAATTTTGAATTCAAAGCGGTTCTCGCAAGAAGCGATTGCTTTACAACACTGCTTCGCAGTGAACGGCAGCTCCAGAGGAAGAAGTCCGTCAGCTGTTCGGCGAATCGGAAAGACAAGCAAGACGCGCATTTGTTTGATTTTCGACGGGGGCCCAAAAACCACAATTAAAATGTATTCGCGCTGAGTAAAGTTGAAAATATCGCCGAAGTCGGCAAGGATTATTGTGAATCTGCTTTTGTTTACAACCCGATTCGTTGGCAGGCACGCGCGTGCGCACCAATCGCATTTATCGGGCGCCAGGACGAAGGACGAGACATAGAGAAATGCTGGGCCATCGCGAATTTGGAGCCGCGTTAGAAACTCGAGTTTTAGTGCTCAGCGGAATTTGGTGGCATTTCAACGTGTTTTCGGTTGCACAAATCCCCAAAAACAGTATTTATTGTTGCAAATCGCTCGCCACCATTCGTGTGTGAGTGCTCCGGCGAGTGTGTGTGGCGAGGGTCGGCGAAAAGGTAGTGGAAACCATAGGAAAGTAGAAAGTAAAAAGTGCTAAGTTTGTGCAAAAGTAAATTCCGACATTGGGGTGACAGCCGTCTCTTCTTTTCTTATTCTGTCTGGTGGTGGCTCGTCCTCTTTCCCCTCCTTTTGCTCTCCGCACTGTCCCCAAATCCTTCCAAACGCTAAAGAAAAAATATGCAGTGCGCGCTCGATACAGTGAATGTAATCCAATGATGTCTACTTTATTTATATTTATGTTCCCTATATTATTCTTATTTCTTGGCAGTATTCAACTTATTAATATCCAACCATATAACTTCAATTTAATAAAATAAATAAATCAGACGAAGATTGGCAAAATTACGTGAAATATTACTTCCTTCAGCTAATTAATGTGTTTTACAAGTGTACTGTTTTTTTTTTATTGTGTTAAAAATTATTGAAAGTAATAAATTATATTGATTAAACATTTTATTTTAAATAAGTTGTTCACTAATTATTAGTTTATATATAAACCATAGAAAATTCTGTTAGTCAATCAAACTTCTTTATTGCAACACATGTTTTAATAAATACCATCTAAATATTAATCAGTAATTTTGATAAAATGAAAAAAAAAATAATTTTGTACCTACTAAAAGAACTAAAAAAAGTATGTTATTTAAAATTTCTAATGTATTTTTAAAAATACAAAAAATATTTTCAACTTAATACGACTTTGTACATTTTTTCTATCTTTTAGTTGTTTAAGTTACTTTCAGTATTTCATTTTTAAGTAATCACGCTATAATGCGTATAAAAAATTACTCTAATTAAAGTACACTCTGTAGAGCGCTCACTGTATATGCGAATGTGTGAGCCATGAATATGTGAAAAACAAAGACGGAAAATGGCTGGGAATAAAAATCAATATTGATAGTAATTTCTTGGATGCTTTCGAGACCTTCCCGCAGGAAGCGCAGTCAGGTGGTCATTGTCCGCTACAGCACCCCGCTTACCCATTTTCCGCACTATCCACCCACATTTTCCGCCCCCTTTGGGGTGACTCATTCAGCTCACGAACTCCGAATTCCATCAGCAACTCCCTTTTTCCTGGGAATGTGAAAACGCGGTCGCCCTCGCCGCATGTCCATTAAATATTGATTTCGATTCTGCACTACAGCACGCTACAGAAAAAAACATATACAAAAACGATTAAAAAGCAATTTGCAAAACGGAAAATAAAATGCAAAGTAAATAAATGGGCCGCAACTCAATTTGGCCTGAAATTTTAACAGTTTATCGTGAAAGTACACAATAATAAATAAATTTATAAATCAGAAACAACTCTTAAACAAAGTGAAGATGAAAACACGCCTCGTCTCGCTGACTTACCGCGGCAGTGCATCCGTGGATCCGCGCTACTCCGCATCCATGTTGCCCTGGACCATCAACGATATTAGGTCTACGGAGAGTTATACGAAGGTAAATATTTACAGGGGTTCTGTGTGTGGTGATTATTAACCGTAAAGTCATCTTATTGATACATTCCCATTTATATAGTCTACTATACTTGATGTAATTTAATAATTCCTAAACTGATAGTCTTTTTGTTTTAAATTGAAAAGAAATAAATAACATTTATGTTTTTCTCAACTGAATATTCAATATTCAAGATTAAAAATAAGTTTAAATTTTTTATTTAAAAGGACAAAATGTATATAAACATAATTGATTTTAACCAAATATCATAATCAGCACTAAAAGGTTTAAAAAAGTATTATTAATTGCCTACACGAAAAGAAGATCAACAATGAAACCCAATTTTATGCTTATTGGATTTTCTGAATTATGTTAAAAAAAATAACATAAAGAACGGTTTTGAGATATTCCTAAAAAAAGCCATTTTCATGATATTCTCAACAAAAAAGTTTCTTATAATATTCCTAAAAAACAGTTTTTTGTGTTATTTTCAAAAAACCAGTTGTTTTAAATATTCTCACTTTTTCTCAGAAAACGTTGACCCAATAAATATCAAGTCAGTACGTTTAAAAGAACGGAAAATTCCGCAAAATATACTAATTATACCCTTGCAGAGAGTATTATAATTTCAGTCAAAAGTTTGCAACGCAGTGAAGGAGACATTTCCGACCCTATAAAGTATATATATTCTTGATCAGGATCACCTCCTGAGTTGATATAGCCATGTCCGTCTGTCCGTCTGTCCGTCCGTCCGTTTCTACGCAAACTAGTCTCTCAGTTTTAAAGCTATCTGCTTGAAACTTTCCCAAAAGTTGTCTTTCTATTGCAGGTAGTATATAGGTCGGAACGAGCCGGATCGGGCGACTATATCATATAGCTGCCATATAACTGAACGATCGGAAAAGCCATAACGTTGGTGTTTTTAAAGTTAGGAAGGGATTTTCTATAAGTTTTATTTTTGGCCAATTAATCCGACCTACCGAATTTCATAAGGATCGGACGACTATATCCTATAGCCGCCATATAACTGATTGATCGGAAATGCCATAACTTGGGTGTTTGTAAGGTTAGGAAGTTGGAATTTTCTATGGGTTTTATTTTTGGCCAATCAATCCGACCCACCAAATTTCATAGGGATCGGCCGACTATATCCTATAGCGGCCATATAACTGAACGATTGGAAATGCCATAACTTTGTTGTTTTTAAAGTTAGGAAGTTGGGATTTTTTATGAGTATTAAGAATGCATCATATGAATAATTTTGAAGAATATAATTTACAGAATATTCTGCAAGGGTATTTCAACTTCGGCTCCGCCCGAAGTTGGCTTTCCTTTCTTGTTATTTATGATTTTAGTGGAGGCAGGGGAGGGGGTTCGAATAGTTTAACTCTATCACTCGGTCTAAAGCAGAAAATACGGTAATAATAATACAATTCGATGACTTATTTTATTTTTTATTTTCCCATATTTACAAATCTAGTTACATGTGGTCCAAATTGGGCTTTCTTTCTTTTTCAAAAATTAACTGCAATTTTGTATAATTTGTTTAATCATTTTTCTTAAATTGTTTTGTATTACGTTCCTCGGAAACTGTTCAAGGTTTATGATATTAAATTGATGGGCAATATATTAATAGACATATTATTATAACAAACGGCCCAATACTTAAATTTTTTCACCGAACCGCCACTTTCCTTGCTTAATATCACCGCCATACTATTCTTCCCTTCATAGATATTTAATTTGATTTGATTTTCAATCCGTGCCGACCTGCCCACAGCAAAATCGTTTCTTGTTAATCCAATCAAACACGGAATGCAATACCCAGATCGCACATGACAGGCCTTCTCCTCACTCTTTGCCTTTGGCGAAAACAATTAAAAGCAATTTGCCATTATTACGGGTGGGTAAATCAATTATGTGCCAAGTGAGATGCTGGCAAAACAGCGAACGAAATTTAATTAATAAGTTTGTGCTCCATAAAGGATAATTACTGCGATTAGTGACCCATCGGCACCAGCTCATCGGGTGCCTTGTCCCTATAAATAGAACCGAGATAACCGGTGACGAACGGCAAAGGAAAGAGCCAACAGTGAGGCCTAAAACAAATTGAGGGACACCCCCGTTAGCAGGTGTAGCCCAAACAGATTACGCATACGCCGCGTAGAACACGTGCGACAACAAGTTACCTCACCCTCTCCGCGTGATTCTATTTCCCGCAAACCCGTTTGCCCAGTCCCTTTGGGAGTAATATTATTAGAAGCTGGAAAATTAATTTTAGCAAAGTCCGCAATTAGCTAGTCATCATTGCTGTGCGCGCGTGTAAGTGTGTTTGAGTGACCTTCCTTCCCAAAGGTTATTCTTTGGGTAATCTACCTCATAGATTTAAGGAAAATAGTGTCTAGAATTATTGTTCGCATATAGCAAGATATGCAAGCAAATCATATGAAAAGGTTTGCAAGAAGAAGAAAAGGTTAGCAAGAAGAATAAAACATTTAAAATCCACATGAGAAATTTAAGAAAAATAAAATTTCATTTGCTAGAGGTAGCCCGTTTTTGGCTTGCTGTTGTTTCTATAATTTTATTTATTTTAAGTTTTTCTTTCTTAGTGAATACTTAATATAATTTTTCAAAAAGTATTAAAAATGTGTATTGGATGGTTTTAATTTTAAAAATATCAAATACTCGGATCTAAATATACCTCAAATAAACTAAATATTTAAAACCTTTTAATTTATTATTTTAGTTTTATGTATGCATTATTTTGCAGTGTGGCGAAAGAAACACCTTTTATTTTCCCATTTTGGTTTTGTTTGCGTGTTTGTCCTCTCTTGGTTGGAGCTAAACAGGTGAGGTGGCTGCTCTCGCATTAAAATGAATCCTTTCTACGTGCCTGCGACCATGCCCCAAAGGATATGTGGGGGAATAACACCAGCTTCTGACAATTGTTATTGATGCTCATTGAATGTACCTCGAGGGCTTGACTGGCCTCAAGATCCTATCGCAATCAGCTCAACACAAAAATACTCGGCTTGAATCTGTCCAGAGAATTACGCATACTTAGTTTAGTTTAGTTTTCCTAAAATGCAAGAGGGAATAGCCTTGTTTTTCTCATACTTGTAAGTTATTATTTGGATTACAAAAGGAACACGTTTGGGAGTTTACTTAAATCATTTATTCCCAGATCTCTTCTGGATTCTCGGTTATATTAATTGTTATTAATTAAGTTATTGTTGAAGTGTCTATTTGGGTTACTTACGTTGTTGAACGTGGTTTAGTTGGTATTAAGTGTGGTTATGGCCAAAAAAAATAGTTAAAAAATGGAAAGGTAACAGTCCGACTTATGATGTTTTTTTGCCTTAACACAACTTTGTTTATTGTATTCAAATTCTCAGGCTTTAAAATAGTAACATAAGCGATAAGTAGGGACTTTTAATTTGTGAGATAGAAAAAATGAATCTTGAATATGAATATATGTATAAATTTGTAAAAGGTCCTTTTTAGCTGATTGTACGTCATCGAGTTGGGCATTATTAACCTTAGGGGCATGCTCGTTTTCTTGCCTCAGCGCATATCAGTTTCACAAACCATTAGTTCAAGCCCTGTGACATTTTATCCACACTCTTGTAATCCACTTAGCATCAGTACTCCAGAAGGCAGCCACTACTCGTGGCTTGGAAGAGACCGGAACAGACCGTAATTCGCTTCATATTTTCTTATTTAAATATTTACTTAAGCCTGCACACTTGTTTATTATAGTTGTTAGTTTTTTTCCCTCTCTTTATTTTTGCATTTAAGTTGACACAAAACAAACACGCACCCGGAGGAAAAGAGACAGAGGCGAAGGGGCATAAATAAAATGTTTGCCAGCACTCGGGCTCCTCTTTCGCTCTTCAGTGTTGTGTGGCAGCTTATTGCTTTATTATGTTAAATAGCGCATGAAAATTATAACAAGCTTCTTGGATGGATGGACTGATGGTCGCGCCACGCCCACTCTTACCAAAGAAAAAGAGAAAAGAAAATGCGCCCACTGTGGCGGCGTCATGCAATTTTTATATGTTTTTGTCAGCTTTGGTGACGCCTCAGCGGGAAAATGTAACTTTATTTGAGTTCAAGTTGTCGAGCTAATGTTTTGGCACTTGGATGCTAGAAATTTGTTTCGTAATTAGTGGCAGAAGACTGATGGCGATTAGCTGGATTTTTGCAGAAATTAGATCTTAAGCGTTGGCCTTTTATATTTGTATTAAAAACTTTTCTTACTGGAACATTTTAAAAAGGTTTTTATACAATTTAAAGAAGGTATTTAGGGATTTGAGCAAATGTCCAAAACGTTAAGTTCTGGGCTGATAGCTAAGTGGCTGTAAATATTTATTAATATCATCAAATCTGTTCAAGGTCAGATGGGAAAAACAACCAATCAAAATAACAATATACATTGCAGTTCATTTTGAAAAACTTAAGTATCTTAATAAATCGATTCACTTTTCAGTTTCGTGCGCTAAATGACACCTATAAATCAAGTTTTATACGCACTTGGCCGACCTTAAACCAAACTCATATGTATTTACTTTGAATGTGTGACTTTTAATCCCGTAACAATGGAAAGGATGTCCATTTTTTCACCCAAAGCATTCGTTCTTGATACATTTGAATAACACGAATGAGGCCTGCCAAGGATTTCAGGTGGTGGGCCTCCCGTTTTTCACCCGACTGCCTCCGCGATGTTAGCGCGTGCTGCCCCATTGACGTCACAACGCCGGGGAGTTGAGTTAAGCGATGGGGCTGAAGAGGAAAAATCAATACGCCGCTTGTTTCATTTTCATTTCCATTTTCTCATTTCGCCTCTGCAGCGGCGGTTGTAGCTGCCGTTTCAATTGTTGCCACTCTAGCTGTTTTGCCGCCTCCTGCTCGGGAAGTCACTCAAGTCGCGTTGGTAATCCGCTTTTGGTCGAGTCACTTGAGTCGCGTCACTCCCCCGTCCCGCCGCCAAAGTCCTCTGCAGTGGCATAAATGCTTTCGCACTTCATCGTCGCCAGCCCGCTGCTCCCGAGTGCTGCTGTGGCTCACGGGGCGTATGCGTTATATTCCTGGTACACCTCCCATCCACAGCCACTGGCAGAGACCAAGCCCTCTCTATTCCAGTTGGCTGCTGTTTTGCATTTGATGAAACCCGGTTTCGTGGTCTGCTGATCTTTGGACCCATGTTTGCCGGTCTCTTGACATCGTTGCCACGTTGCAGATGTCTTTGCCGGATATTCATGCAGATGACACACATAATTTTCCCATTACACGGAGGAAAAGTAGCTAGAATGCTTTGCATATAGATGAATTTCGATTCTGTGATATCAGTCGAATAATGTCGTTATATCTTTAAAGTATTTGCTTTCATTTTAAATTTTGTTTTCCAACTTATACATAGTTTATCATATTGAACTAGATAAAACTGAACTTATATAAAAATTGTTAAGTTATTCAATAGTCATGCTTAGTTGATTTTGAATTGATCCGGCTAGAATTGCATTTTCTTAACGAATTCACATTTTAATCGAACATTCTCAAATACTTTAATTTTTAAACGTGTGCTTTTTAATGCTCGGACCGTCATCCATCCAAGTTGGCAGATTGATACTCACACCGCTGAGTGATGTGGAGTCGCTGCCCACGGAAAGACCGCTGTTGGACATAACGTCATCCACAATGGGCTTATTTTTACCACCTTCGTTCAGTTCCATCTTCGAAATCGAAGGAGTGACGCTTCTGGAAGTCAGCTCTTGATCCTGATCCTGATCCTGATCCTGATCGTCCTGGTTATCGCCCATTTGGCGACGCAGTGGGGACATCACCCCCAGGCGAGCGTTACCCAGTTGCCGGCCAGATTTATCTTCCTCGAAGGACATCAGTTCACCGAATCGCAAGGCATTCAGGTTGTCAAAGTCCAATAGGATTTCCTCCATATACATGAACATCAGACCGCGGTGGATCTTCGTCCACGAGGACAAGGCGGCTAGGCTCCAAAGCAGGCTGGAGTGACGGGCGAAGGTGCCGATGTAGGTGTTCGCCATGTGCCCCACACAATCGATCAGCATGTACTCCTTCTTGTATTTCGCAATGGTGGCCTCGTCCAGCATTTTCCGTGGCGAGAAGGGCCCCTCGTAACACAGCTGGGCAAATCCCCAAATAAAGGGCACAAACTGAAATTTATCCAGGGAGTAACCCCCATGCCAGTTCGATGAGGTCACCGAATAGGTGACCTGCAGCCGGCGCACGAACTTCAGGTAGCGATCGAATAGAACCAGAACCGATGCAGACAAGTCTTCCTCCCGGCTTAGGATCTGCGCCTTGAATAGAGCGCACAGAAAGAACATGAAGCTCAGCTCGTGGCCAGTTCCATACTCGATTTTTGTGGAGCTGCCGAAGGCCCCCGATAAATACACCCCCAGTTCATTCACATGCCTGCATTTACTGGCCGGCACCGCTCTCTCAACCATCTGGTAAATATCCCTCAGCATGCTGTGGGCCCAGCGCCTGTAGCTCTTGTTACTCGGATCAAAAGAGGCACTGGCATTGGTGCCGTGGACGACGGGCGCTGGTGGATTGCTCACAATCATGGCGTCCAGACTGTCGAAGATGGCCGCCAACCGGTGGATGTTCTGGCTGACCGGAAAGGTGTCGGTATTCCGTATCCCCTGTATCTCGGTGCTCGCATCGTTCAAGTATGTGATCAGTGAGAAGTATGCCTTCGAGACTTGCCAGCGTTCGATGTCCGAGGTGGACTGCACCCTGCACACAGGTCCTACTGTAGTGCGACGGAAAAATGCCGCCACCCGCTTGAGGTTCACTCCAGACTTATGATCCATTTCCTAGAAAATTTCTGTCTTAATTCGTGTTGTTCGTTTTATGTGTCAACCAAAAAACAACATACTAAGCTAACTACCTAAACGAAAAATGTGAGCACTGAAGTGCACTGGTAGAACAATTTTTCTAGCATACTTTTAAGGGTAATATTGCGGTAATATCGGAAATAGAAACGCTTTGTGTTTGCAGTTTAACTGATTTTATACATAACATAAGTGGAATTTTACAATTCGTTTCTTTGTCAAAGCCATTCCAAATTTGTAAAGTCAATGGGTTAGGAAACATAGAAACCTTAAATCTCCTTCGCTGCGACGCAAACTTTCGACTGAAATTATATTACCCTATGCAGAGGCATACAAATTAATTTTCAAGCTTATATAAATCAAATAAAACGGAAAAGTTTCATTCATTAACTAATCCTATAGCAATAAAATGAAACCTTCTTGATGACTACCATTTATAAATAATGAGTTCTACGTAGAGCTTTTATTATATACCCCACCAAACGTAATCCAGGCTTCATAGTGGGGCCATATATCAGTGGTTGCAACTCGTTATTAAGACGTCAGAAGCAGCAACAACAGCAACTGCAGTTAATGCTAATTATATGGCTACACTGCGTCAACGATAACAATAACAACAACAACATCAAATAATGCAATGAACAATTGTAGACAATTTATTAGGCAACAGCCACAATAGCAACAAACAGCAGCTGCCGCATGAAAAAGTAATGGGAAAACGGTTGAAACGTATAAATCACTAGGCAATAACACGCGACCTCAGCGTCGCAATTCTAATGACAACAACAACATCAGCAGTAGCAAGCAAAAAACCAGCAGAGGCAAATGCAAAAACAGTAATTTCACTCCCCAGCTGTTTTTAACATGACGCTAACTGCACTTCAAAGCAAATGAATATGCGTGTAGGAAAGCTGGTAAAAGAGACGTCAGGTAAAAATCCAACGTTTACATTGGAGTGAGAGCAAAGGGTGGACCATACTTTAATGAATTTGTATTTAATACTTATTATTTTGTTGTTTTCATTATCTTTAAATAGTTTTCAACAGTATTTATTAAACCATTAATTATATTAATTATTAATATATGCGCTTTAAGCATGTATCTTTTTCTGGTCCACTCTAGTAAGCAACTACACATGTCGGCTTGCAAGTAAATACACCTGAGAACGTGACTGCGCATAGTGTACGGCTTGATTCCAATTAAGAGTCGCGGAAAAGAGAGAAGAGAATACCCAAAATAGGTCAAGCAGTCAATTGTTCTAGCAAGTAAACAGATTACGTATACGCAGTGTGCCACAGCACAATTTGCTTATATTCTCTGCGGTTATTGCAAACAAATAAAAACAAAGAATAGACATCTAAACAAGAACGGACAACTAACAAAGAAAAGTTATGAGTGACTGCGATGCTTTCACTTTTCGAAGGAGTGAATTACAAAAGTGAATAGTAGGCCAACATCTTCACATTTGTGTAACGTTTGTTTTCAATTTTATCAAACCATTATATTCAAATTTACCTTTAAAAGATATTTTCCAGGAACCGAAATTACGTTCCATAATTTTAGTTAGCAATGTTAACGTTGAATAAAATCCATTTGGGATCAAAGAGGTTTCTCAATCAAAGCTTTGCTATTTTTAAATCACAATTTAAATGACAACAAAGCCTTTGCGAGGCACTCGGTTCGATACTCAATAACCGAGGAGTGGCATTGTATGTGATGGACAGCACGGATCCTTCGTCAAGTGTCAAAGGAAATTAATTAAATTTAAAATGTCATGCAAGGGTGGCTGACTCGCTTCCAGGTTTGGCCGTGTGTAAGGTATTTCTCTTTAATTTTAGTTAAATAGAAGCGGGGAAAAAGTTTGCTTTTGCCCAAGTCAAGAAGTCCTTAGTAATTACCGGTTGCTAGGCGGGGTCATTAAAGCGCTTTTAACCCTTTTTAACCTCATCAACTTCAAAGGTGTAATACATTTGATGTGTACATTTGACGATGGCAAGCTTAATGGTTTATTAAATAAACTGTTATATTATATGGCTTTACAGTTTTTAAATTGTTTAAATTGGTTTTTATTCTAACCAATTAATCAAAGTTTGAAAGAACCAAATCCTAATCGGTATTTATTTTAGTTTTCCTGTGCTGAAAGAAAAAATAATTATAAAAGTTCGAAAAATCAATGAAATTTCTATTTGTTTAGTCCATATGAGGGCATCCAAGTTTTCCAAGACATAAGTTTAACTTATAGTATTTTTGTTATTCCCTCACTTGGCTTAAAAGTTTTCCGTTCTGTTTTTAGTTGGTTAAGTTAACGCCCATCTCATGAGAACTCCCACGCCCACATACCCTCCAACATGAGCAACTCTTTACTTTGATTTTAATTTAATTTGCGAAGAAAAAGTTTTCATTTTGTTGGAGCTTTCCGGGCGATAATGAACGCCTTCATTTGCTTCCCCCTTTTGTAGTTCACCCTTTTTGAAATTGACTTGTTGTTACTTTTTGCGAAGCTTGCTATTGGCAAAATTAAAGTCTCTGGGTTATCATTAGGCGGACGTGGCAACTAATTTCGAGTGGATCGGTTTCTGGAAGCTTGATTTTAATTAATTCTGTGGTACGGAATTAGTTTCACTACAATGTTTTAATTTAGAAATTCTCACAGCCTGAAATTGACATAATTATGTATGTTTTATATTTATATTTTTCGTATTTGTAAAACCTTTGACAACAGAGACTCGTGGGGAAACGAGAAATGCCGCCTCAATGGGGCTAAAAAACACAACGACCTGTTTTTCAGCCAACTACAGTCCTTGCAGCCACAACAACGACACACCCAGTAGTGAGCAGAGCCCCATTTCCGCCACCCCAGCCCCCAGAAACCACCCAACTCATAGTGTCGACACTCCCTAGTTACCGGGCTTTAGTTGTTAGCATAAAAAAGGGCCAAGAACAGAATGAAAAAACGAAAATACAGTCGGCGGAAGAAAGCAAATGAGAAGGACGGGCACCAGGCGCCGGAAATGGAGCAGCCGCCATGTTGGTAGGCATGTCATGTTGTCGTTGTCGTCGTTGTCACCATTGCGCGTTGCCTGCTCCGCTCCCGTCCCGCTCTCCTCCCTCTCCCGTCCCGCTCTAAGAGCACCGCGCTACTTTCTGCTTGTGCATGCAAGTATGTAAACTGATTAAAAGGAATTTAATACTGTTAATCTGCTTCGCGTAGTGGAAACATTCTAGCGAATTATGAAACAACGTGCAGTTCTTTCCATTGTTTTTTTGTTCGTTGCTCTTGGGTTTTCAAAAAAACTACCAGGATTTCGTTCATTCAATATTGTACCTTTATTTAAAAATATATCTTTTAATAATATGAAAATAATAAGAAATAAAAATATGTTTTGAAAAATTTTAGAATGTCCTCAAAAAACTAAACACTATTTAGATTATGTTGAGTAGTAAGTTTAAGGCTATAAAGGCGAATAGTAGTTTTGGTCCTAGTGATTGTTAGATTTAAAAACAGTACAGTTTCCAACATCTGTGCTTGCGAACACCCCACAGGACACTATCACTTTTATTAAGATTGATTTTTAGGAATTTATCACCCTCATAAGTAATGTTTTTGTAAATTGTTTACTCTTCCAATAAGCAAGAAATGTACATACTTTAAAAATATCCCCCTTCGATTTAATTGCATTTACTAATCATATACCTGTATCTTCCAGCTATCAGTAGGCATTGAGCATGGCATCCTGGAGTCGTACAACTCGGACTTCGAGCTGCAGTTCAGCCACCCCCTGAAGCATATCGTCGGCATGTGCCGCATCGTCCACAAGCCGCAGGCCAAGAGCACCGGCAACGGGTTCCTGCAGCTGAAGTCGAGTGCTGGCCAGGCTTCGGTCTCCTCCGCAGTTGCTTCCTCGGTGGCCGGCGGGGCCAGCAACTCGCTGACCGGAAACGGACTTCGCCACACACTGACCGCCTCCACGTCGTACGGCTCACTCTCTTCCAGTGCGGCGTCCGCTTATCAGCTGCAACAGCAGCAGGCGGCAGAGGGCTCGGCGGAGCAGCCGCAAAACTTCATGGAATTCCAGGGACCCATCACCGGGCTGGTCTACTTGCTGAAGGATCCCAAGGATCCGCTGCTGCACATCTATCTCTTCGAGTGCGAGGCCGTCGAGGAGGTAAGTTGAAGCCCGAATCATGACCAGAAGACGGATGGGAAAAGTTGTCGACAGTTTTAGCCGACATTGTGTCAGTTGTCTGTCCGCTGGCATTTCGTTTTCTCACAATCTCTGCTATTTTGAGGGGAAAGTGAACCGAAATGAACCGCTTGAATGTGTGTGCGGACAGTTTGTGGCCTTTTCAAATGCTTTCATATGGAAATGTTTAGAAAACTTGCCACACAATAGTTTTCCATATAAAAACTACTTGGATTAAATTGCACAGAACGTGCAGGAAAAGCCCCAAAAGGTTTTTGCGGGTTTTGGTTCAGAGCATAATAAGTTTGGATGCTTAACGAGCGACTGCCTTTGGTAACATAAATGTGACATTTTTTTAATTGCTGTCTTCCGTTGAGTTGGTAAATATGGATAAAAAAAAGTTCTAGAGATTATACCTCATTAGACACACCTTTTTGCAAAAATGTTATCTCATGTTATTAAATGTTCTTGAACTTAAGCCGCAGTTTCATAGAGTGTTATTTATGGGAATGAAATTGGATACAAAAATGAATTCGAAAGTTAATAAATATAAAATGTTTTTGGAGTAAAGTCTGGATTGCACTATTGAAATTAATTGATTTTTAGGGTACTAGGGAAAATATTCTCAAACTTCGTAGCCATAAAAAAAAAGATAAATAATCCTAAAAGTTTATTTTTCACTAGAAAAAAAAAAGAGTTTTAAACTTTTTTTGATTGTAAGCTTACTTTTGGTCAACAAACTCTTTCTCAAATATTCGTTTTCGGGTACATTTTGCTTCTTTTAAGAAAGAATTAATGAACAGGACTCTTCAATTAAATTCATAGTCCATTCATAAGGACTGTACCGAGCTCTACCAAAATAGTAACCACAAATTTAGCACGACCTGACCTCGTCTCTTATCACGCATGTGTTAGATTGTAATGTCTGAGCCCAGCCCAAAGAGCGTGTGTATTGGGGGACGCCCAGCTCGCCATAAATTGACTTCCGTTTGCATTTCTAATTAAAACAGTTCAGCAAGTATAGCGCCACTAACTTGGGGCTGTTCGACTAGGAAAACCAGAGAGAGCAGTCCATTAAATTAGGACTGCTCAGCATGACCTTTTTCCGATTACACGCAAAAAGTTAATTCCGAATGAACAGACCAAAAACAAATCCACTTCTTCGCTTTTTTGAAGTGATCACGCCCCTCCGATGGCAAACAATGGGGTGAAAAACTTAATTCCCTTTTTTGAGAGTAAAACTAAGCTTAAAAACGAAAACAAATCCACAACTAGCTAAATTTAAGTTAAATTAGCGGGTAACTTTTTTAAAGCTTGCCTTTAATGCTGGCAATTTTTGGTTATTTTTGCTTAACTCTCTATTGAGCGCTTCCACTTAATTTTTCACAAGAGCTGTTGTTGGCTCATTGCATGTCAAAAGCGTTTTAAGCCCTGCGTTTCGGCCATGATGTTGACTTGGCTTGATTGTTGATAGTGGGTTTTGTTGGTGTGAGATGGCGTTGTTCAGAAGTTTTATTGAGTTGTGCCTCCTGCATTCAGTTTCCAGCTGGTTTGATTTACGAGTATCTGGGTCAGTGTTCGCATTTCGGTATTACGGTCGTCTTAAACGCCTAACAAATTTCGATGGCATGTTAAAGGCTAATACAGGTCGCAATAAGCAAAGTACTAGTGAAATATTATTTGAAAGCCTTTTCTTCATATTTTCTTAAATATATATTTAATTTCTATCTAGAAAAAAAATAACGAATCTGTTTTGCTATGTGGTGTTCGATTTGTAGTTTATATTAAACGTGCATGCGCATTAATGGAATTCAATTAAATTCATGCTTATTTGCTTTATAAATAAAGCTCAGCCAAATCGAAATGTTTACAATAAAATGTATTCAATGAACTTAGTGCTTTATTTGAATTCCACCAGTTTAACAATAACAAACATTTGAAAGCATCAACAATGTGTTTTTCTTATTGTTAATTAGATCAGCTGATAAAGTGTATAACAAAAATAATAATAATAATCTATTTATAGCACAGTAGTTTGGGAAATGAGTATTGACTATTGAAACAGTTTCTTAAATCTATCTCAAAAGAGAGTTTTCGCATAATGAACTACTCTCAAAATCGATCAACTATAAATTGTTAATATAAGCTAGTGAATTGCTTTATTTGTATGAAAAAGTCTCTATAAGTGGCACGATTAGTCAATTTTATAAATCGAAGTTCGGCCAACCCCTAATCTATTTCCCACTAATACTTAGTTATCCGAGCTATAGGAATTCGATTGCAACATGTTAAAATACGTAAAAGGCCGAATTCTGAATGTCATGTTAACTGGAAAAATAGTTTTTCTGTTGCAAAGTTGGATTGTAAAAAATAAGATAAATAATCCTAAAAGTTTACTTTTCACTTTGAAAAAAAGGGTTTCAAATATTACATGGAGAAATCGAATTTGTGTTTCCAAAATATTTGTATTTGCGTTAACTTTGGCAGATAACAATCTAAAATCTTCAACCTTTATACTGGGAAATCGGGCCTAGCTAGGATAATAATTCATTCTTGTAAAAGTCTTGAATTTAAATCACTCTCCTTCCAATTAGGTACTGTCCAAAGTTAAGCGAAGCGAACACACAAAACCTATCCCCAACATAGTTGGCCGACTGTGGTCAACCTGCTTAGTACGTTCCGCCGATTGAGCCACTAATTGAGGCCATTAGGCGCTGAGATAAACGCACTTTCGCTTCCCCATCCTTTCTATTTACAAAGCGATGAGGAAAAAAAGGGAACCCATTACGCAAATGCTGAAAAAATAAAGCTAATTGCAAGGAGTTGGCTGAGTGTGGCATACTTTGGGGGGGCGTATGCAGCTGTGGTCCTCTGCGGCACTTAAACAACATCATAAGCTCGTAAATATTTAAAGCCTTTGTCCGCTCCACCTGCGAAATGTCCTTGTGCATCATTAGCAGGTGGATCCGTGCCGTGTCCTTTGCTAAATGACGCATGGCACAGAGCTGCTATTCGCCTGTTTAAACATCAGGCTTATTGTCTTTCCCTCCCGCAGGATGCGAGGTGAACGGGATTGTGGGTGGAGATGGGCATTCAAGGCGAATGTCAGTGCCAGCTTTTGGTCCTGGCTTTGAACATGCTACGTTGGGCCAACAAGAAACTAATCGAGTGTGTTGGCAACCCTTCAAACTGTCGACAATTTCGGATTCTTTGAAGATGCCATAGTGAGGCTCATGAAGAGCGAAGGATTTGGCTTAGAGTGTCCACATAATGCACTGAAAAGGTCTTAAAAGTGTTGCTACCTCGCATTCCACCCAAAGTACACATACGAATTTCCTCTAAACTTTGGCACATGATAACTTTTTGAAACCGATATTGAACGTTTTAAGCCTCCGCCTCCCTCAAAAGCCGTTCTCTCCGGCAGATAATTGGCTTTCACTTTTATTTCCTCGAATTGCATGCAAAATATTGCCTCCTTCCGTTTGGGAAGAAGAGCTTGGCAAGCCTGCCCGGTGAACAAATTCAATTTGTCGCACATTGGGGAAGGAAGACCCATTTTATACCATGATTAGATTGAAGTCGGTCCTTTTCTCTTCACTTAGTTTCTGCTGTTGTTGGTTCGGTTCTTTGTGCTTGTGCCAAATTGATTTTATAGTCAAGTTTTAGTTTGTAACTTGTATCCAAATGGAACGCCGCTTTTCTTTCTGTTTGTTATTTGCATTTCCTACTCGATGAAAGACGGGCAACTGTGTCAACTTTTATGTCAGATTGAGTGTTTTTTGAGCATATTTTTAAAAATATTTGTAGTTTTATTGGTAGTATTTTCTAAGTCTGAAATATTGTTATTATTATTAGTGACATTAAAAAGTAGCTTAATTTTTTTAGAGAAATATTAAATTTTATAACATATCTATTAATTTATATTAATCAAAGCAATTTTAAAAAACATTTTTTGTTATTATTAAAAAACAAATATTTAACTAACTGTAGTTGCCGTGATATTTTGATTCTTTTAGTATAAATGTATGTACATAATTTATATAATTTTTAGGAATATTGTATTTTATAAAATATATATTAACTTGTACTAATTTATGTTTCCTATATCGCAAACATAGATTACACCATTACCGCTATACATTATCGATTCATTTGAGTACTATGTCTGCAATTTGACTTTGACCGATTGGGAATCGATTTTGGCTGAGCTGATTGTCATTTCCTCATTGAAATCCCCACGGCAGATGTTGTATTTACCATGGTCGGTTGCCCAATGCACGTCTGTAATTTATGATCTTATTTACCACATGAAGTATTCGCAGTGTGGCCTGCATGCCCGAATTTCCCGCTCTCTCTCTGTCTTTCTCTCTGTCGCTCTTTAGGCTCTCGGTAGCACTCGCATATCTTCTTCGATTTCGCATGCGCAGGTCGCTATACCGCGGATTCCCCAGTCGCACTTCTCGGATTGGATCTGCTGCCGTCAGTTGTCAGACGACAATTGAACCGTGCGCGCTTCGCTCGAAGGCGGCGAGAGTTACCCACAAAAAAGCGAATAATACCTGTGGAAAGTGAAGAGCCCCAACAATACATAAATAATTAAACTGGTAGGGTGACAACGAAAACAATATCCAAATCAACAACAAATTAGTGAAATCGGCAAAAAATGAACTTGTTTATTGCACACGAGAATAAAAAGTGATTAGTAAACAACAAAAAACAGAGCGTTCGAAAATAAAAATAAATCAGTTACTAAAACGCGCCACCTAAACCGAAAAGCAAAACAATATATAATCGTATATACCTACACATGTGTAAATCATATAGAATTCTGCTTATTTTTGTCCATCTCGGCCATTCTATTATTTGTTTTATCCGACGCTTGTTCGCTTAATTAAAAACTCTTGGACAAAGCAAACCAATTGAGATGCTTTTGGGTGTTTATGAATTGGGGATGGTAAAGAAAACACTTCCCCTACTCTTACATAAAGTGATCTATGAAATTTTCCACTCAAAATAAACAAAAGCGCTCAATAGGCTCTCATTGTCCCAAATATCGTGTAGTTGCAAAGTGCCATTGCAAACATCTCGGAATCAAGTCAAGCAAAGTCAATTAACGCGACAATTAGCAGGGGCGCAGATAAAGATAGATGGATAAACAAATGGACGTGGACACATCGTTGTATATACAGTTATAAATACACAACGACATTGCCTTATTATCGTTGTTAGTGCGATTCCCTAGCCAATTGGCTATTGAGGCAAGTGCAGCTTTGGGAATCTGTTTAATTGTAATGATTTATCGCCCAGCCAAGCGCAGCAGAAAGTACTTTGACCCTTTCTATATCGGAATATACTTTTTTCTCAAACAGCTGATCGCTGCTGCTCGTTTGAAATTCGAAAATACTTTCGTTTGTCGCGAGAATCGGTTCTATTCGCATTTGTTGCCGGGCTTCTGATGGTCATTTCATACTGAACGAGCCTCGCGAACGGTCGTAAAAGGTTGGTGATTTACGTGATTTTTCTGGCGTCAAACAGAAATCGGAATACATATACTTGAAAAACCAACTATATCGAAATGAGGTGGCTGAAATAAATAGACCAGGAATTTATTACAGTGATAAATGGAAACTCAAATCGAGGAATTTGATTTAAACCTTAATAATCGCCAGTTTATAACTTAATAATCTTTTAATAAGTTTTTAATTCAAACAATGGAATAACCTTAAAAAATAAAAATGAATAGAGTCATTAACTGATATTATTGGCGCTATCTATTAATCCAAATTGTTTTTTTAAGTGAAAATATACAAGCTAAATGCTTGGTATAAATCAGACATACAATTTAATTACAAATAATACAAATATTTTTGGTCTCCTGTGATGCAGCCTCAACACGTTGTGAATACTTTTAGCCAGCTGTCTTGTGATAAAAAGAAAACAACCATGGAAAACTTGTGATACTCGTTTAAACACTCAAAGTACAAGACTCAAAATAGAATTTTGTGATACAAGCTGCAGCTGTGTAAAAGTTGTGAAAGTAAGTTGTGATAACCGAACTTCAGAACCAGAACGAGCTCGCCCGGTGGATAAGACAGTATCTGAAGATGTTCACGGTGCCGTTTCATCGGGACACCATCCTGACCACCTCAGTCAGCGATGCTTCGGTGCTCAACAAGAGTCGGGCCGTATGTAGAGATTCGGATCCAGAATCCCCTATCCAGTATCCAGTATCGAACCACTAACCCGCTAAATTGATTTCAATTTTTCCGCCTGCGCCTGAGCTTGTGTAATTTGTTTCTATTTACTTGCTGCTTGCCTTTTGTTTGTCGTCTTATGTAATGGTTTGTTATGCATGCACCGCTGCGATTGCTTTGTTCTTTTGTTCCCAACTAATTGCAGCGTTTAGGCCAAGTTAAAAGTCGCTACACCCCTCCCCCTGGTTTTCTTTTTACTATACAGCCCTGACTTCCACTCAACACTAATTGATTTACCCTTGAAATGGGCTTCCCATCTCGTCAATAATGAATTCGCTTTGCCATTTCTCTTCACCTTTCAAGTTGGACTTTTATTGAAATTTAAAAAGCCAGAGACAATTCCCATGTAAATAACTCGGATATTCTATTTTGGATTACCATATAAAGTGTTTTTTTTTGTAGCTCCTCCTCCGTCTGTTATTTAGCGTTAAATTAAATTCCTCGCGCGTGCCAACCGGCAGAGAAGGGTGGTCAGAAGCCCACTTTCAGCCGTAGGCGCCAGAAAAAGTTTCTCGAATTCGTCCTTTATGTGGCACTTGACCATGGCCATGGCGACTTTATTGGCTCTGGTGTCTAAGAGAGCGTTGCAATTGGGGAAAACACTTTTTGTGGCTTTAACTTTTCAGCTGAGTTGATTGTTCACTTTGATGGGCTTCAAAAGTTGCACAAAGGGCGTTTCAAGAGCTGAAAATACATAAAGGGTAAAAAGTTTCGAGTGAAAAATATAAAAAATAGAATTATATGTCAAGTGGCTGAACCAGTTAAATCAGTTACTATAAAATGGATGTTGCTTTAAAACAAAACGAGAATTGAGTTAAGTCGAATTTGAATACACCATTTTTTAAAATCAAAAGTTAGCGTTTTTAATTTAAACACCCTTTTCTTTGTCTTAGTCTACGATATTTCGAATTATAAAAATTGGCTTTTATATACAATGAAGTTATACATTTTGACTGAACGTATTTTGACTGAGTGTCGCTTTGTAAAATATTTATATTGATAAACCTTAAAAAGTGTGGCTAAAGGCGGTGATTGAATAAACGATTTTGAAAATTTTAATAACTTTTAAGCTGAACTTGTTACAAAATCTTACCTAAATGATCTCGCCTTTAATTAAATATCTACACCCTTACAAAAAAGATAAGTAAAAACATTAGGTTTCATTTGAATTAAAGGCTTTTAGGAACCGGTCAGAAATTGCCGGGCAATCAGCTTAAAGCTTCCAGTTTTTTTTATTGAAGGCATTAAATTGTAATTTTAGCTACACGCTAATATATAACATTAAACGTAATTGCGCATAGTATTTTTACAAACTTTAAACTGTATTTATACGTTGATTTTCAATCGCCGATAGATATTTGAGCCATAATTTGAATTAGCGAAAGATAAACATTGCCTTAGGTGCTAAGTTCGCAGATGATAAACACGTAACAATAAATATTTGCTGTTGTGTGCTCAAATAGGCCGGAACAAATGGCCATAAACCGAACCGAATCGGCAGCGTCACAAATCGGCAGGGAAATGCGTTGCAGTCTTGACCTTAAGGCGACTCTAAATCGAATGTAAACAAGTTCGTTTAATGTAATTTAATGGCCATGCCGATTGTGGTTGAATTTATTTCTTCCTTTTGGTGGCACTGGGTTCAACAAACCCTGCCACAGGGTGCATCTGCTGGGGGCTTAAATGCCAGTCCAGGTCTTTACTATTCACAAGGCGCACTGACACCGCACATCGCAATTTCCAATTGCATAAAAAGTCATAAAACGGCAAACGAGCAAGCGATAACAGCAAACAGACACGACTGGGGGCAAAAAGATGACATAAAAACGCTGACATAAAACATTAAATATTGTAGTTCAGACATGTGACAAAATTTGCAAGCCAGTTCGGAATTCCCGGAAACATTTGATTTATGCCGAAAAGTATTATATTTTTGTAAATACATATATATGTAGCAATATGTAGCTCACTTACAAAAGGTGGAATGACCGAGGAAAATCTTTTTATATTTCAAAGACTAGAAGGGTTTAGTCTTTAACATTTTTGTGCTAAAAATATTTATACATATGTACATATATGACATAGAGTCTATATTTGTCTTTAAATAGAAATTTCGCATTGCAAATTTAGTAAATGTTTAGTTTGGTTCAAATTAAGCTATAGTTTTAAATGTATCTGCAAAATTTAGAATAGAAACATCTTTTATCGCTGTTACATTAACGCGTATTTCTATAAACATGAACCTCTTTGATGTTTATTTTACTTTTTTTTAAGTTTTGTTAGTTTTTAGTTATATTGTTTTGTTACTACAGTCTGTATTTGAATAAAGCTTATACTAAAAATACATCATGTTATCATAGATTGGAACTCAATGAAATTATTTCAAAGGGATTCAATAAATAGTTTTATTATAAAAGTTCTTATACTACTAGTCATTCGGCTATAAAGTCGACAAATGGGATTTTTTTGCATTACCGCTTACGGATTTCACGATGTGTTAAGCCATTTTTATATTTTTGAGTCATTTGCAATGCAAAACAGTTGAGGGACATAAAAATACCCATAACATTGCTGGCGATTATAAACGCGTGCAAATCGCCTGTAAATCGGTTGTAATTTGACTTTGTCGTCATTGCGGCTAGTCAAGGTTGTTGCGTTCTGTCTAGAGGAGATTAAGCCCCGTCAATTCGGCATTATATATGCACATTGTTATTAAAAAGTAATGCAACAACAGCAATAATGAAAACACGTAAAAGTGAAGGAAAAAGACAAAGTCATCAAGTGAAACGCGAGGCGAACGTGACGTTGAATTGAATTCCTGCGAACAGTTTTTTGTTATTTATGTGCGATGGTTTTTTGTTTGTTTCGTTTAAACCATAATAATAAAAAAGAGAAACATACTTGAATATATTGTCAGACGTTTTGAAAAACACGCGTGCCGCACAAATCCAAAGCCATTTATACAGATGGGGTGGAAATAATAGCAATACAAATTTGCATAAGTTTTTATTAAGTTGTGTTACCAAACCTAAAATTGTAATAATTTTATTAGAAAAGGAGGGTAGATAAATGAACTCATGTCATTGATTCTTTATTGTTAATTTATTATTAACTTAAAATCTTAAATGTTTCTTAGTAATACTGATTGTTTCTTAAGATTCTAATTAATAATGCTCAAATATGTCTATCAACATGCGCGGTTTGTGATGCATAGTACAGAATACTTGCCCGCTGTGCTATTATTATGACCCCAGCTGTGGATACAATATGTATTCAAACTATGGCTGTTGGTCAACTTATTCTGCAGATGTCGTCACGATCACTCGGCAAACGCCTGATCACGGCGAAGAAGCAGAGGGGCAGTCCCAAAATAAGAATGAAAATTAAAATCAATTTAGGGAGATAACTTTTTCATTTGTTCGTGTGTCCGCATTTTAGCCTTAAAATTGCTGATGAATGACAATTAGTTGTGGTCCACACAATTGCATTTTCGAGAAATTTGTGTGCAAAAGACGCATCTGACGGGCAGCTGCATCTACATCTACTGAGAGTAGAATGACATTGGACTTTTAACTTGCTGGCACTCGCCAAAACATTTCTGGCAGCTTTTCAATGCAAAAATGAAGCAACGGACCGAATGACATATCCCTCGCTCAAGGAATGCCCTAAAGAGCCCCGTCTCTCGACTGTGCATCATCATCACGCCGGGAGAAGCTGATCCATCCGATGATGCCGAAGCTTTCGGGCAGACATTGCGTCGGCATGAGCATCGAACATGATCACTGTGACTAACGAAATGGACCAGTTTTATCTCGGTTTGTGCCAAGCTGCTTGTCCTACATTTTACAACTTTTCGCATATGTATTACCCATAAATCAAATCGAAGTTCAGAGCTGCAATATTGAGTTTTTGAAAACTTTTCTTTACGATTGCTGATTCAGATCTCGAAGTGCCGTGCAGCGACAGAAATATCCCCCATAGATAATATCCCATGAGTGATCGCTTTTTCAGTTAAATGGGAACGTCTTTATTTCTTTGAATTGTCTTAACGATTTTATGGGTTCCAAGAATTAAATATAAGTTTTTTTAAGCATTTTATAACTCAAAATAGCTTATTACTCGAGCATCCCTAATAAATAAACCAAGATAGATATGTAATCAAAAGAGATAAGTCAATTTATTGTAGGCATTTACAATTCAATTTACAATTAGTGGGATGTTTTCAATAACTCGATGATGATGTTTCTAACAGAGCGCAAACAAATAAGATGTGGCGTATTGACCTTTGGAAAATTTTTGGAGTCTTCTTAAATGTTGATCGAATAAATATATATCGCTATTGCTCAACAGAATTTCACGATTGGTAAACATGTTAAGTCCCAAATCTCTATCCCGTTTAGTTTAGAAAACTTGACGTTTTACGGACAGCCCGCATGTAGACGGACATCTCTTGATCCTATATGTAATTTAAATTGTCCAACCCTATAACGGGTACAACAATATTTCCCGAAAGCGGTTTGCTTAGAACTAAATCAAGAACATGAAATAAAAATTACTTTATCCCACCGAAATGGGTGACATTTTCATGGTTATAAACTTTATATTGCCTCTTTAAAAAAAAAATCAAAAGAATATACATAACCATACCGCAGTTAAGCTGCATTATCCCAGTCACGAGGCGGTCTCAGCTGAAATCATGAAAGGGATGTCCAGCAAACTTTTCTTCGAAGTTTCGAAGCATCTCCCAGAACCCCTTAAGTGGCTGGACCACAAAAAATGTCATAAACTCAATGGTAGTAAAACTCAAAGCGGGAAGGAATAAGGGATAGACGGAATGCGGAGTAAAACCAAAGGACATCAAGTCATCCATCAAATTGGGAGGCCATGAATTTTCCTCTTGTACTGACTGCACGTTCCTAACTTTCTTCCCAAGTCCCAGACAGATAAAAAATTAGTGTCTGACCCATGTCTTCTTATGCGAATTGTTTGCAGATGGCCGAGCTGATGCATCAGATGCGGGATCCGGCCCACACGCTTGGCGGTTCCGTGGGCAGCATTCCGCAGACGCTGATCGGCGGCGGAGGTGGTGGACACGGCTCCTCGAACGGGGGATTGAACGGAATCCATGCGACACCGGCCACGAATCTGAAAATGAGCGAGGCGATGCGCAGTGCCCAGCATGACACGAGCCCCAATCCCGTCAGTTCCAAGATGAAGGCATCGAAGTCTTACACCCATGGTCTGAGCAGCTCCTCGGGCACGGTGAACATTCCCACGTCCACATCGGCCCAGAGCAATCTATCCCTGCTGGCGGACATCTCGCCGAACCACACGCACTTCTTCGAGGTAATGTACGTGGGCAAGATCCGGGTCTCCCAGAAGCGGGTGCCCAACTCCTTCATCGACGACGCCCTGCCCAAGTTCAAGGCGTACGACGCCCAGCGCCTGCGGCTCCTACAGAATCGCAAGATGTCGCTCAGCAGTGAGGGGGGTGTGGGCATTGAAGCGAAGCCGGGCAGTTCCCTCAAGAGTCACGACCTCAAGGAGGAGGACGAGGAGGAGCAGGAGCACAATCAGCGGCAGGGGGAGGAGCCAGATGCACAGGCGAAGCCCCTCGTGCAGCTGCAGCTGACGGGCGCCGAGGAGGGAGCTGCCCCGCGACCCCTGGAGGACAACAAGGACACCAAATCCCCCGAGAAGCGGACTCTGCTGAGGGGTCAGAGTCAGATCGAGCTGGGCCATAAGGAGCAGTAAGTATTCAGCCATTCGAGTACCTTTTCCCCTGACATTTCGACCAACAACTTCTCCATCTTGCCGAAGACCTCAAAGCTCCGACGGCTCTGAGCCACCAGCATCCAATAGTCAACTGGAGGCGCCCAATGTCATTGTAAACAAACAGCCAACGCCGCCCAGGGATCAGGGCGTGGCCTCTGGGATTGGGAGTGGAAATGGGGGTGCCACTTCCGCTTCTGCTGGCCCTAGTCAGCTGCACCCCAATTATGCGATGGAGAAGTAAGTGGCAACAAGGCCAGCAATTCCGTCGCATGATTAGTTCGTTTTCGTTTCTTTAGTTTTCGTTCACAAGTTATTTAGAGCCTTATCATACCAGCTTAACCAGCTATAAATTTTTGAGTCATATTTTATTTATATTTCAAATTTGAAAAAATTTATGTTTGATTATGGCATGTGTAACGTTGGTTATAATTTTTTCTTAAGCAAATTATTTAAAATAACAACATAATGAATCACATATCATTTAATATATCTCTAAAAAAATATACCCTTGCAACGCAGTGATGTAGACAGCTCCGACCCTATAAAGTATATATATTGTTGATCAGGAGAGTCAATCTTTTCGCCTGTTTGTCTGTTTGAAAGTGTTCTTTCTATTGCTCCCAATGAGATGATCGGAAAATAAATAAGCAAATATTGCAACTTCGTTGTTTTTTTACCATATACGAATATACTCCGTGCTTTAGTAATTTTAAACAATTTCAGACTTTCTCGGAAAATAGATATAGACCCAAAGTTTTTAAAATATACGCAAACAAATCAAATAATAGTCGTTTTATAAAATACTTAATTTTTGTAACTGCCGCAAGGGTATATATGTAAACTTCAGCTTGCCGAATTTTGCTTCCTTTCTTATTGTTATTAATTAGATGTATGCCTTTTACAATAATTAAAAAGCTAACGAAAATAATTTATTATTTTTTAAGATAATATTTAAAGTTTAGCTAGCTCTGAAAATTGCTAGATGTTTGTTATATATTTACTCAACTACTAAAAGTGAAACGCTTTTAAGCCTTTCATACTAAACCTATTAAATCAGATTTAATCTGAAAATAAAAGTGAATAAGATTTTTAAGGAAATGAATGCCAAAATATTGTTACTTTCGATCCTTTGATAGTTGACCCTTTTTTCGTTTGTTTCGCTTGCCCAGTAGCACCCATCTCTTATTTTTATAGCCGCATGTCACCGCCCAAAGCACCTAAAACTTAAAGTACTGAAATCTGTTCCAATCCATCTATTAACGAATCTACTTTCAGCATACCAAAGCTGAGGGATCGGTCCGCCTCGCAGGGCTGCATTCCGCCATTTGTGGAGCAGAACCGGACAATGGTGTTCCTCGTGGGACGATGCGATCTCCGCCTGATCTCGCCGGATCGCAAGCAGGTGCTGCTCTACAAGGATTTCAAGGACGTGGCCAGCTGCGTGCATGGTCAGAAGTCGCTGGATCATTTCGGCATCATCTGCCGAGAGTTGAATAACGACGGCTACATCGGCTACGTGTTCAAATGCCAGTCAGAGCACGTGTGTGACGACATTGTGGCCGCCATTGCCCAGGCTTTCGACACCTGCGCGGAGCAGAAGAAGAAACAGGAAACGCAAATCTTTAGCTGCGAGCACTGCCCAATGCTCTGGTATCACAAACTCTGCACTGATGTCGAGGGACTCTCCGAGAAGAAGACCCAGGCCCTGATCCTGCGCCGCATTGAAACCCTAAACGACGACGAGCAGGAGATCGTGTGGGCCAAGTTCTGTGGCTCGGAGAAGACCAACTCACCGGTGGCCGAGCAGAACCAGTTCCTCATGATGTTGCTAAGGGCACACTGCGAGTCCAGGCAGCAGAGGCATGTTCACGACACCGCCGAGAATCGGTCGGAGTTCCTTAACCAGTATCTCGGCGGCAGCACCATCTTCATGAAGGCCAAACGCTCGCTGACCAACTCCTTTGATAACCTGCTGAAACGCAAGCCCTCCAAGGATGATATTGCCGTGCCGCCGCACAATTTAAGGGAAATCAGAGAGGGATCCGCCGAGCCCCTAGGCACGCAGTCACCTCCAGAGGGCTTTCGGTCGCGATCAAATACGGTGGGTGCGAGTCCCAGCAGCAAGCCCACAGCTGAGCAGCTTAAAAGTCCCATGATGGACATGTAAGTAAAAAGGAAACCTTTGTAGGGGATATAATTCACTAATTCGAATTCCTCAATTAGATTCATCAAGGTGGGAAACAGTCCCAAAGAGGCCGAAACCCACCAGGGGTCCTGGCGCCAAGCGATACTTAATAGTGTAGTGACACCCTCGAAGGGTTTGGACAGTGAGGTGCCCACCGAGTTTCTGTCGCCCATGCGCAAGCGTAAGTAATCCCTAATCTTGCCCCTTCTTCTGGGAATTTAAATCATAAAACTACTTGCAAATAACAGCTGTCAAACGAGGCAAGCGGGACGCGGCGGAACTGAGGGAACTGTGGCGCACTGCCATCCGACAGACCATAATGCTTAACCGCATGGAGACGGAGAACGCCATGCTGCAGGCACGCCAGAACGAGAACGAGCTGAAGCGCATCAAACTAGACTACGAGGAGATCGTGCCCTGCGACAAGCAACTGATCGAGCGCTGGGAGCAGATTATCGAACGCAACTCCACGCAGATTGGCAACAAAAAGGATCCCAAGGTTCTGTGTCACGCCATCCGGACTGGAGTACCGCGATCAAAGCGCGGCGATGTGTGGACCTTCCTGGGCGAGCAGCATTCCATGAACACGGCTCCGGTTGACACAAAGCGGTTCCCCAACTTCAATACGCCGTATCACACGTTGCTGAAACACCTCACGGAGCATCAGCATGCGATCTTCATCGATCTGGGCAGGACGTTTCCCAACCATCAGTTCTACAAGGATCCTCTGGGATTAGGGCAGCTGTCGCTGTTTAACCTGCTAAAGGCGTACTCCATTCTCGATCCGGAGTTGGGATACTGTCAGGGTCTGGGTTTCATCTGCGGCGTTTTACTCCTGCATGTGCGTCTCCTTTTAACAAATTTGAAAAGGATCATTAACTAATTTTTGTTTTTTTTCAGTGTGATGAGGCGAATGCGTTCCAGCTTTTGAAACACTTAATGTTCCGACGGAATATGCGCACAAAATACCTGCCCGACATGAAAAAGTTTCAATTGCAGCTGTACCAACTCTCCCGATTGGTCAAGGATCACTTGCCAGATCTGTATGTGTGGCTCGATCAGAATGATGTCTCGCCCACTTTGTATGCGGCTCCCTGGATTCTGACCGTCTTCAGCTCCCAGTTCCCGCTGGGATTCGTGGCCCGCGTCTTCGATCTGCTCTTCCTGGAATCCTCCGATGTAATCTTCAAGTTTGCCATTGCTTTGCTATCAGTGCACAAGCAGCAACTACTGGCAAAGGATAACTTCGAGGAGATCATGGACTATCTGAAGACCGTGGTGCCTAAGATGGAGCCCAACTGCATGGAGCAGATTATGAAGCTAGTCTTCGGCATGGACATTGGCAAGCAGCTGGCCGAGTATAATGTGGAGTACAACGTGCTGCAGGAGGAGATCACCACCACCAACCATCATCTGGAAATGTTGAACCGGGAAAAGACGCAGAACCAGCATCTGGAGCAGCAATTGCAGGTGAGCTTTTTAAAGATGGTGCCCTAAATTGGTTAACATTACAACTAGTGTTATTTGTCGTTATATGGATAATGAAACTACTAAATATCATTTTTTTTCTCTCCCGCAGTTTGCTCAATCCTCGATTGCTCAGCTGGAGACCACCCGTTCCTCCCAACAGGCTCAGATAACCACGCTGCAATCGCAAGTGCAGTCTCTGGAGCTGACCATCCAGACCCTCGGTCGGTACGTCGGGCAACTGGTGGATCACAACCCCGACCTGGAGCTGCCAAACGAGGTCAGACGCATGCTCCAGCAGCTAGACGACCTGGAACGGCAGCGTCGCAAACCCATCTTCACCGAGCGAAAGATCGGCAAGTCCATTTCCGTCAACAGTCACTTGGGGTTTCCACTCAAGGTGCTCGAAGAGCTGACAGAAAGAGACGAACATGGTTCGCCACAAAAACAGAAGAAGGAGAAGACACCTTTTTTTGAACAGTTGCGTCAGCAACAGCAACAGCATCGCCTCAACGGCCAGTCCTCTAATGCCAGTGAGTCGGTCTCCCCGACGCCCCCGTCGCGACCCAATCGCCTGCTGGACAATGCCAGTGCCCGGACCGTCATGCAAGTCAAGCTGGATGAGCTGAAGCTTCCCGAACATGTGGATAAGTTTGTTGCGAATATCAAGAGCCCGTTGGAGGTGGACTCGGGCGTGGGCACACCCCTCAGCCCGCCCAGCACGGCGAGCAACAGCAGCGGAGGGAGTATATTTAGTCGCATGGGCTATAGGACAACGCCACCGGCTCTCTCTCCGCTGGCCCAGCGCCAGAGCTATGGAGTGGCCATTACCACGGCACCGTCTCCCCACCAGATGGAGGAAGTGCCGCCGGCAACGACAATGGCCAGTATGCCACGGGAGGATGTTGAGGAGCCGCAGGCCATGCACCCGCTCAGCATGGTCGGAGGCGATGTGAACGTGCGCTTCAAGGGCACCACGCAGCTCAAGTCCATACGTCCGGTGCATCACATGCGAGCTATTCCGCTAGGAGGCGTGCAGCACCAGTCCAGCACGGAGACCGTGGTACGAGTGGCTCCCGTTCCCGTGGAGCTGGCACCGCCCGCGGCCACGGCGACCACCGGTCGCAGCTAACGGTTCTGATTCATCGGGAAACTGCTGCGCGGATTTTATCGCGATTAGGGCCCGCAGGCAGATCGGGCAGCTTAGAAACCCAACGCTACTCATAACCTCTTCTGTTGCGACTTAGATACGATTAACCCAACCAACCTATAAGATACAAACTTCAACTACTTCGTTTTCAAATTGTGTGTATGTGTCGATGTGCGCACAAATTGTTGCCATATATATTGCCCCGAAAGTTACGCAATCGTTATAAACTGATGCCCCAAATATTATACAACTATATATATGCTTATAGGAATAAATTGGATAATGCTTTTTCAAGGTTTTATAAATTTGGCTACCGCATCAAAATCGAAGCTTATAAACTTAGGCGGCAACACGCAAAAAACAACTAAATCAAAAGAAGCATTAATGAGTCTGTAGTTTGTTTTAGTTTCCCCCTTTATATTGACTTAATACTTAACGAATTTACTTAGTAGCTTACTTGTTGATTTTCGTGTTTCTTTAGTTTTAGAGCATTAGTTCTTAATGTTATTCTTAATTTAATTATATTTGTACATTTCTCCCAGGGTTTTATTTTGCAATGTAAACTAAAGTCAGATACCTAATGTATAAAAAAATTCCGATGATACTTGCTTGTACATTGTTCTTGAGTAGGATACAACTTTCTGAAATCTCTTTCATTATAAATATGGTACTTGGATTGAATTGATTGTTTACATATACATACGATTATGAAATATAATTAATGCAAGCAAAGAAAACAATAATTGCTTCTGTGTTAAGTACTTATGTATTGCTTAGCTGGACTGTTTTTATCGAACGTCCAGAGTTTGTGTAGCTGATTTGTGTTAGAATATGATTAAAACAAACAACAATTACATGAAAACAGTAATAAAGTCAAAAATTATTTAATCAAAACTGATTATGAAGTGTTTATTTGTGGGTAATAAACATATAAAATCACAAAATATGTATTGACTTAACAATAGCCCCAAAGTGTCCCAATAATACAATTCGAATCATTTGGTAACTATTTAATGCCGACAGGTCTTATAATTTATTCAAGTAAAGTTTATCTGTTAGTTCGGAAAAGCTGATTTCACTAAAGGTTCTAATATTTTATTATAATAGCATCCTCCTATTTTATAAAGCGACAACAATTAGCGTTATTTTATTAGTATATATCACATACAATTTAATACTTATATGCTATGTTATTGACAACTCAAGTCTCCTAAGTCCGGCAAATTAATCATTTTCACTATCAATTAAATGAGGCTATCCTAATGAAACATCACAGTTTTAGTCAAACTAAAAATCAAGAAATTCTTCTTTTTTATTCAAAATGGCTGAAAATTTTAGAAATTAATGTGGCACTCGAAGAAGCTAAACTATAGGATAATAATATGCAAAAGCCAATTCAGCTACACTTTGAACAGAGACTTATAGCTCCTTAAAATGTGGCTGAGTTGGTTTTTGTGGAGGGTAAGATGTCAAGTCCTGGTCCTGCCCTAACACCCAAAAAACCCAACCAAAGTAAAGACGAACCTGCTTATGTACAGTATAGCGTCCGTCAGTCCAACTAACTAGTTACAAACTACCTAGGGACATGCATCCTTTCTACTCCTTATACTCGGGCTTAAAGGTAAATTCCGGCTTGGGCTGCTGGACTCCATTTGCCGCCGCTGCCGCCGCCGCTGCTGCCGAAGCGGCACTAAGCGCCGCCAGATTTCCGAGCATGGACGGGTTCTGGGTCATTCCGGTCATTCCGGGATAGATGTTCTGGTAGAAGAGCGGATTCTGCAGCTGAAACAGGGCCATCAGGTGGGTGAGCTGGAAGTTCGGGGCCGTGGGATCCACTCCAGGAGCAGAGGCAGCGGGCAGCAGGCCTGGAAACAGACCATTGGTCAACGGGTGGACAGGGGCTGTAGGCTGGGACTGAGGCAAGAGCATCGCGGGATTGCTGGTATCATCCTCGACCTTGAGGCGCTTGGCTTCCGGCTGCTGAGCATCGGCGGGCAGTTGCTGTAATGGGTAGAAACAAAATTAGTTATTAAATTAAATTAAATATTTATAAAACATATAACTTAAAGATCAAAACTATATATACTTACAATTTTCTTGGGCGGCCTGCCGCGTTTGCGGGCCAGAAAGTGTTCGGCGGAGAGGGAGGAGAGCGGAGTGGAGGTGTTGCTGCCACACACGGAGTTGCTGACTTGAGGTTGGCCAACGCTGATGGGCGGCAGCTGCTGGGGCGTGGCATCCAGCGAGGACTCCTCCACATCCTGCTTTGTCTTGAACTGCTGGTAGGCCTGCTCGCCGTCCTGACGATCGTGCTTCCTCTTGTGGCTGATCATCTGGCTGCTGGAGTGCAGGATGTAGTCGCAGCCTTCGCGGACGCAGTGGATGTGGTTGCAGACGGTGGAGAACTTGCAGGCCTCAAAAGGACACACCTCGGTCTTCAGGATCTTCTTGAAGCCGTCCATCTTCAGCTGGTGGTCTTTCAGGTGGTAGGTCTTGTGCTTGTCTAAGGAAGAGAATGCATAAAATAAATTTAAATATTTATTTGGATAATTAAAATAGAGAAGGTCTACATTTTTTAATATTTAAGCGGAAGCTTTAGTTTTTTTTAATAAATTTATATAGACATTCTAACATTCCTTGTGGACTTACCCATATCAGCCTTGTTCTTGAAGGTGTGATTGCAGCCCTCGCGACAGCAGTGGTAGTGCGAGATCTTCTTGCCAAAGAAGGGGCAATCCTCGATCCGGCAGTTTTCATGGGCCCGGAAGCGCCGGAAGCCCTCGTTCACGATCTCGGAGTCCTTGCGGTGGAAGTTGGCGTGCATCTGGACGTCGCTGGTGCTCACATACACCTTCGGGCAGTGCTCGTAGACGCAGTGGTAGTGGGTCTGCTTCCAGTTGTAAGCGCACCCCTCTCCGTAGGAAGGAGCACAGTCGTCCGCCGAGGAGAAGCGGGCAAAGCCCAGCTTGAGGCTCTCCTTGCGCTTCTTGTGCCACTTCAGGTGCCGGATGATGTCGTCCTTCTTGCTCAGGATCTTGCCCTGGCAGGGCTCCTCGTGGCAGTGGAAGTGCTCCCGCAGGTTCTCCTGCCGGCACAGGCTGTTCTCGCACTCCAGATAGGAGGACACCTTGCGCAGGTTCTTTAGGATCTCCTCGCTCTGGAAAAGGGCATCCAGGCCGCTGGCCGCCGAGAGGCTCACCATGCTCTTGCTCTGCTCACTGGAGGGGGGGGTCAGAAGGGAGGTGGTCTGGGTCTGTTGCAGGGGGGTGTTGGGGGTCAGCTCGCTTTCGACGGGCGTGATGTGGTACGATGAGTCCGCTGGCTGCTTGACGGGCGTGTACTGCAAAGAGTGGGAAGAGGGTAGGGAGAACTTTAGACCAAATACTTGGATACATCTGTGAGCCCGACCTCAGACTGCCTGGTGCCCACAGCTGGGCAGCGATCGAGAACGAAGGAAACCCACGCGATGCCGACACAGCTGTTTGTTTTCTTTGGAATCGCGATCTTTGTGTTTACTCTCACACTTAACTTTTTAAAATCACGAGTTGTTTCGTTTATGTATTATTCTCAAATTACACTTACAGAGCGTGGGATATAGCCCAAAAAAAAAGAAAAAGAAAAGAAAATAGGGAATAATAATAAAGAGCGAATTTACAAACTACAAGTAGTTTTGTGTTGAATTTAAGTAAAGATGAAAAATACTATGCAAAAAAATGTTCTGCTCTAGACCTTTAAGTTTTGATTTCGGGACTTAACTAACTTTTAAATATGTTACAAAAAGTGTGATATTTTGAAAAGATTACTTGGAAGTTGTGAGTTTTGTTACAGTGGCTTGTTTTTTAGACTTCTAAGCTGCCTCTAGGCATTATATTTTTAAAAGGACCACTTACCATGCTGGGTGAGTCAAGGCTGTCGGTGGTTGACTCCAGCGGATGGACGCCCGACAGGAGCAGCAGCTTCTCGGTGCTTGCGTTGGTGTGGCCCGAGGAGCTGCAGCTGTTGAGACTGGACAGCGGCTTGTCATCGTCCTCGTCGTCGAGGGAGTCCTGCTCAAATTTGACTGTGACCGCCGAAAAGTTGCCGGCAGTTGCTCCTGCTGCAGTTGGTCCTGCTTCAGTTGCTGGTGTGGCTGCCTTCTCGATTGGCGTGGATGTCACTGTGGAGGATTGCAGAAAGTTATTTGTGGTAAACTGTTCGGAGCCAGCGAATTGGCATTGGCCCAGCAGCAACTGATGTTGCGGCTGATCCTGTTTGCCCAGGGAACTGGGGGTGTGGTTGGGTGTTAGTAGGAGGTTGGAGGTGGTCAGCAAATGTTGCTGCTGCTGCTGCTGTTGCTGCAACATGTACTGCGTCAGCGGCGGCAGGGTGTTGAGCAACATTTGGCCCACCAAATTGTGTGTGTTGTTAGGTGTGGGTGGTGTTGCTGCTGTAGCGCCTGTGTATTGTTGTGGTTGAAAAGCAATCAAATTACTATTGGGACTACAACTACGGCTACTACTACAGTTGGTGTTTTGCGAGCTAATGCGTTTGTGCGTTCTTGTCTTGAGATGATCTTGCTGTGGCTGTTGCAGTTGCGATTGCTGGTGTTGCTGATGTTGCTGCTGTTCGTTTTGCTGCTGCAGGCATGTGCTGCTCGAGATATCCTCATTCTGGGTGTAGGTGTATCCAGCCAGCGGCTGCTGCAATTGCAGTTGCTGCTGCTGCTGCTTCATGAGGTTCATCATGTAAAGTTGCATAATAAACTCCATTTGGTTGGACATTTTTATAAATCACTTTTCTTGATATTTTTGGCACAGCACAACGATATTTTCGGTATTACAAAATTCTTCAAGATTTCGTTCAGATTTTCAGTGGGTCACAGCACAGAACACAGCACGAATATCTCGTCTTCGATCACTTTTCTTGCACGGCGTCTCAGCGATCCTTAAAGTTCGGCTGCGAGGCTCAAACTGTTTCAACTCTTCCGCGGCCTCCAGCTAATATAGCAAAATTGCGCAAACCCAACTTCCAAACGCAACCCTCTCGCATCTCTTAAAAAACCGATCTCACTCGCTCTCGAGCTCTCTTAAAAAATGAACAAACTGAAAAATCAGTTAATGGTGGTGGCTCGACTTCCAACCCCTAGTTTTTTAACGACCCTTCTCCGGAAAATGCTCTGGAAAAACTCAGCTTGTTTCCGTCTGGTTTTCGTTTTTTCGTTCGCTTTTTCTCGACCAATAAAATGCCAGCGTTCATGTAAATTTATCTAGAAAAGAGAGTTTTTTAGGTAAAAAATGTCATCGATTGCGAGAGAGGAGCGGATATTTGTAAAGGAATCTTGCTTGCCTAATATGTGGCAGAAAGAGACAGCAAAAGATAGAAGAGCACAGATCGGTAAAGGAATTTTATAACACTTTTTATACCCTTGCAGAGGGTATTATAATTTCAGTCAAAAGTTTGCAACGCAGTGAAGGAGACATTTCCGACCCTATAAAGTATATATATTCTTGATCAGCATCACCAGGAGAGTCGATCTAGCCATGTCCGTCTGTCCGTCCGTCTGTCCGTCTGTCCGTCTGTCCGTCTGTCCGTCCGTTTCTACGCAAACTAGTCCCTCAGTTTTAAAGCTATCTGCTTGAAACTTTCCCAAAAGTTGTCTTTCTATTGCAGGTAGTATATAAGTCGGAACGAGCCGGATCGGGCCACTATATCATATAGCTGCCATATAACTGAACGATCGGAAATGCCATAACTTTGGTGTTTTTAAAGTTAGGAAGTTTGGATTTTCTACGGGTTTTATTTTTGGCTAATCAATCCGACCTACCAAATTTCATAAGGATCGGACGACTATATTCTATAGCCGCCATATAACTGATTGATCGGAAATGCCATAGCTTTGGTGTTTGTAAAGTTAGGAAGTTGGGATTTTCTATGGGTTTTATTTTTGGCCAATCAATCCGACCTACCAAATTTAATAAGGATCGGCCGACTATATCTTATAGCTGCCATATAACTGAACGATTGGAAATGACATAACTTTGGTGTTTTTAAAGTTAGGAAGTTGGGACTTTTTATGAGTATTAAGAATGCATCATATGAATAATTTTGGAGATTATAATTTATAGAATATTCTGCAAGGGTATATCAACTTCGGCTCCGCCCGAAGTTAGCTTTCCTTTCTTGTTTTTTTTAATATTTGCAAAAATATTTTTAAAAATCGGGGATTTATCTACGTTCTTAATTGAAATACTTTATTTATTGCTTATTTAAATGTGTAAACTAATGTTAATACAAAACTATATGAAAAACTAATCGTATCTTATATTTTCGTGCAAAATTTGGGTGCAATGCTTTTGATATTTATTTTTTGTTCAAAGGACTTAAGTAAGATATATATTCCTTAAATTGAATTGTTGTTTCGCTACTCAATGTATTATCAATTTATGGTAAAAAAGTGTCTTAAACTAATTCCAAAGATTATACAATATATGCTTTTAATGAAATAGCCGTTAGAAAATGCCATTTCATTGAATTACTCAAAAGAATCATATCGATTTTCTCACAGTTAAAATTCGCGTCCCCAATATAATCAAATCTTAGCCCGTACAAAATACAGATTCCGCATCTTTGTTCATTTAAGGTCTCATCTCTATGCAAATTGTCTGACAATATTTCGGCAAAATTGCGAATTGAAATAATTTCAAGGAATTGGCGCGATTGCGAACTGAAACTGGAGCAGCTGGCTTTGGTTCTTGAAATAATCGAATGAAATCCATTCAAATGCAAAAAATAAAAACCCAAAACTCTAAATTAAAATTACAATCGAGCAAAAAATCTGCATTACAATCGTGCAAAAAAACACAATTAAAAATGCCAAAATTTTCATAGACCGAATGCATAAAAAATTAGCATATAAAAAACGTTTGCAGAAATTCTGAACGTGAGCAAACCCTTAAAAATCGTTTTCCATTCGAAGGAGGCTACATGTAACATCCGCTGCGCAGAAACACCGAATCCTTTGCGGATCGTAATTTGCATAAATTATTGCTGTAAAATATTGGCACGCAGAGCCATTTGCATAATTTTGGCACATCAGCCCAAGGCGAGAGCGGGCGATCGGGTGGGAAATTCGACATCCGGATCACCAGCTCTATAGCCAGTGTTATGCAAATGGACCTGCACTTACGGCGGGAAGGGGGTTTTGTTACAGATTCGGGTACGCCGATCGACTGCGCACGCGCGCAACCTGGAAATTTATGCAAATCAGCAAGGAAGTCCCCCGAACATCGAACAAATCGATTGGCGAGGGGCGGAGGCTGAGGTACGATTGATTTTGAATTTGCATTTCAGCTCGGAACTGGGTAAGGCTAGGGAAAGGCTGAAGGATCAGCCCAGGACATGGTTTGTCACTTGGTTGGCGAATTGGGAATGAAGTGGATTTACCAATTGTTGCCATAATTGAGTGACATGGATAACGCAGCGAGAGAGTGAGAGCGGTGATGCGGACTAACCCATGTTCAGAGCTATTGATTACAGAAAAGGTTCCATGCCACATAGTAAAATGGCAACTGGAAATGAAAATCTGCATGAAAATGCAAACAAAAGCCCATACGTTTCGTATAGGTAGAGCAGGGCTTGTTCCATTGCCCCATTCATAGTTGTATTTCTGCTTTTATGCTTTTGCATTTGCCTCGTGAATTAACATATGACAATTTCATATTCAGTTACAAACGTTTCGAAATAAGTAACTTTTGTTAGTCACCTTTGTTTAATGTTGTTACTCCTGGCGCAGTTGATTGCTGCAGTTATTAAAGGACAGCCGCGTATTCAGAGAATCGTAGCACTTTCGGGATCCCATGAACTATGATTTTGAGCGAAACTTTGAAATTAGCATTACACTGGTAAATCAATTAGCCAAGTAAAGGGCATGTCACGAGGCTGAGAATCACTCAAGAAAACTTGATGGGGTTTTAATTGCCACTGAAGTTCAATCTTGAAAGAGTGTACTTCTTAAATGCCAAGATTTATAGAAATTCGGAATCAAGCTATTCAGTGTTGTCATCAACGTGAGAAAATCTCAGAGAACAATTTGAATAAAGATACCATCTATCTCCCTAATTACGCCAATTGCATGTGGCACTTCGATTTCTTTGTCCTTTCTCCCAGTTTTCACGATTTATGTTAAAAAGTAAACAAAAACGTTTGAATATTCAATCCGAAGGGCGCATCCGTGCACATGCACACCCTATTTACCTATTTTCCCTATTCTTTCGAGATAAGGAATATTTTCCGTGTTTTCTTCCTTTTTTGTGATGCTTTGTTTTGGGATGCGTTTAGCCACAGATTTATTGCCTAAGCCATTCGAGTATCTCAACTTCTACCCCTGAATGACGACGGAATCTTTTGCCATAAATCGATGATATTTCAATATATTCATTGCCAATTGTCGCTCTTTGTTTGTGCAATACTGCTGACCCTTGAAGAAGGATGTCTCAGGATGCTGTCCCTTTTGCATAAATCTCGCCTATCAATGACCACAGCCAATGCTAATGGGATCTTCATTTGCGAGCGTTTTGTCGACACTTCTTGAGGACCTCGGCCACTTAGGGATGCAATCGATGGACAATGCTGAGTTTGAAGTCATTGCAAATGACAATGCAAATGAGATAAGTATTCGAGAAGGGCAGTTGGGCATCTTGGACCGACCAACCCCACGATGGTCACGCGTCCGAGTAATCTCAATCGCTTAGAGCTGGTCAAGAACGAGTTTTGGGATGGACCGAAGGGTTAACAATTAAAGGGTTGTCAAACGGTCATTCCAGGGGTCAGTTTGGCACGCGTCATCCTGGGGCACTGACCTAAGTCATTTGTCTGCTTTTCTTTAAAATAGATCTATAATTATATTTTTATAAATAATAAATGTATCTTTTTTGAGAATGGGTATATTTTGTTTATATTTATTTATATATATACTTATTCAATTTGAATATCAAGGACTTAATATTAATTTTAGGAAATCAGTAATCAGTTCAGGTTATCTAAAACCTATAACATTAGACTGTTGTATAATTCGCTGTTGTTCTCCGTTAATAAAAACACTTTTTTTTATATATAACCTAATTTCCTAAAAAAGTAAAAGCATAAATGGGTAAAAATATTTCTTAATAAGTACAATAATTCGCATTCATCATTTCTAAGTAAATACAAAATGGAAATAGTTCCTTTTACAAAATTGAAAATGGTATTTAGCCGTTAAATGTTTAACGTGAAATTTGAAGTACTCCAAATTTTTGCATTTTCTGGCTGGGAACTTAGTCTATTGTTCCTGCTCGATTCCCATGAAAAGTTCGCTGTGAATTCCTTGAGAAATGTCCGTTAATTGAAGAACACGCTCGGGTTCAACAAAATGGCTGACCTCCGGCCGCAGAGCTTCGCAAACGGGACAGGAGCAATGTAGGACATGCTGGGAACAAAGTAGAGAGATAATTTGAATGCATGACCGCAAGGGAACCCTTTGAACCCGGTCGCCATTGTCCCGCCTGTCCGACTCGCTCGCCACCCCAAGGACACGGGCTGGCGCAGCATCGGGAACAGGATCAGGACGAGACACCCAATATCCTTGCCGAGGCGCAGCATCGCTTCACTGCTTCCAGGCTGACCAGATCCGACTGTGGACCGCCATATGGCTCGTATATCCTGCAAGGGTTCCATCCTTTCAACCTTTTTTTTTTTTGCTGCGCTGTCGAAATTTTCTTCGCGGCCTTTCTGAAAATTAATGCCAGTGTCCAAACCGGTTTTCTTGTGATTTTCATTTTTGATTCGTGGTCGCGAGTCCAGTCCGGTTTTCGGGGCGAGGCGGTCCTTCCAGCGACCCTTCAACCCTTTTGTTGTTTTCCCGGACCGCTTTCGAAAGGATGCGCAAAAGCGAATAAAATTGCAGCTTTCGGCTTCATTGTA